ATTTTATGTATGTTTGTATCGTTATTTAGATTGCATTATAGTTTTTATGCATTTTGTCATGAATCTTTGAAGAAGTATTCAAGTTCAATATTTGCTTTTTTGGTTGCAATATAAGGTAATAATTTTATATTAATTTGTTTCATATTTTGATTGCATTATAATTTTATTTATGTTTGTATCGTGATTTTTGTTTGTATTATAACTCTTATGTATTATATATATATATATATATATATATATATATACATATATATATAAGAATAAACCATGAGTGTTTGAAGTGGCCTCTCCTAAAGCCTAGAACCTCATTTTTCTTTTTTCTCCTTCATTCTCTCAATATGCACTACTATATATATTTTTTTTGTCAATTTATGTTTTTTTGTTAAATGTTTGCATTCAACTCCAAACCATTCATCTCCTTCTATATTAATTCAAATGACATAACTCCAAACCCTTCATCTTTTTCAATCAATCATTTATTTATATACATATAAACAACAACTATTTATTCATCTTCATCTCTCACACCCTCTCAAATTCTATCTCTATCTTATACATCTATAAATTTATTTTCTTTTTCTTTGATTTTTCTTCTATTTTACTATTGATAATCTTCATAGTTTTTTTTTCACTTCTCCCATAATTTTATGTATGTTTGTATCGTTATTTAGATTGCATTATATTTTTATGCATTATATCATGAAGATTTGAAGAAATTTTCAAGTTCAATATTTGATTTTTTGGTAGCAATATAAAGTAAAAAATTTATATTGATTTGTTTTATTATTTTGATTGCATTATAATTTTATTTATGTTTGTATCGTGATTTTTGTTTGCATTATAACTCTTATGTATTAGGTGAATATTTAAAATGTTCAAGTTCACCATRTAATTTTTACTTATGTTGAACGTTTTTTGGTTTGCAGGTTTTCGAAGTCTTTAACGTTTATATATCAAGTCTTGAAAATTTGAACTTTTCAAGTTTGGGTTGTGAGAATTTTTGATTATGATCAAAAGTAAGGATTTTATGCAAGTTTGTTTTGTAATTTAGAGTGTATTAGAATGTTATGTATGTTTGTGTCATGATTTTGATTGGATTATATTTTTAAGCATGTTCTTATCGTAAGTTTAGTCGTATTATAATTTTATGTAYGYTCATGTTATGATTTTGATTGCATTATAATTTTATCTATTGGGTTATAAAGATTTGAAGTTTTAAGTTTGGTATGCGATTTTTTACATATCGTATGATTGGTCCATTCACTATTGTGTTTTTAAAGTCAAGATGTGTGTTGAAGATGAAAAATGGTACATGTACATCATCATTTGAAGAAAACATATCTTTGTGTAGTATTTTTTATTCTTAAGTTTGTGTCAGATTTCTTAATATTTTCGTTGTTATTATTACTCATTTTATTTAGTTTTACAACTTTATTACTAAACAAATCTCTCTCAATATATATATATATTAAAATTTCACTAACTATATTTTATTTAATTTTTTCGAATTATTTGAATATGATTTGTTAATGATTTTAATAATAATTAATATATATTTATATAGACAATCCTCACATCATTAATCAAAGCACTCATGCTACCGCACAACACACGGTTCCCATACTAGTTATTATAAAATAAATATATTTTTAACATATTTTAAAATATTATTGTATATAAATCTTACGAAATTCTTACACAGTAAATGAGATTTCAAATCCTATGAATCGTTGAAATCAAATTCAATTTTAAATGCAATGAAATCTTACAGAGTAAAAACGACGTCGTACGAGGTGAGTGCTTCCCCTATGATTCCGGTGGTCGACCTTAATTACTCCGACGGTTTAGCACGGCGATCGGAGTTTGGTTTCATCCTTAATTACTTATATAACATCCAATCGTCTTTCCATTTTAATCGGTTGCAGACTTTTATAATCTCAAAACATAATTGTAATTAAGGCTGCTTCCCACCCCTTCAATTCCCTCCGATCCGATGTTCTAACGCCAGCTACCTTTATTAACATTTAATTGGGAACCATGACCAAACCCCGCCTCGTACTCCGCCGTTCTTTGGAGGAGCGCCGCCAGTTTCTACAGCAACACTCTTCACGTAAATACAAGCATATGGGGGAGGTCGTCGGAGGTACGACGGCAGAGATGGCGGCGGTTTGTTGCTGCGTCCCATGTTCGATGGTGGACTTCGTGGTGTTGACAATGTACAAGGTTCCGGCGGGTATATGCCGGAATGCTATGCGAAAGAGGCGCCAGGGGAGTTTGGTGATGAAGCGTAACGACAGTGTTAGCAGTTTGGAGGATTCGGAACTGTCGATGCATCCGGCGGTGAGAGCAGCGGCGGAGAGGTTCATGAAGCCGGAGGTGGATAAAGATGCGATGGAATTGGAGAATGAAATGTGGGAGAAGTTTTATGAAAGTGGGTTTTGGAGATCTCCTTCAGGAAGGCTGGGTTAAAATTTGAAGGAATATTCCGGCAGCCATTCATGCAATGCATATGGAGGAAAATTCATTAGACTAATTAACCTACCCCTTTTCCATATGGGCTTCGGTTTATATATCAAAATAATATATGAAATGAGAATTATATCTTCAATGTAATGATTAGATTCATATGAGACCAGTCTGTTTTTATAAAATTTTATTTTTATATTCAAAACTTTATAACAAAATATTGTGAACGTAAAAAAATATGAACATTTGTGAAAGTTACTTTTACAATGTTTTATTTTGAAGTTTCAAATGTAAAAAAATAATTTTACGGATTACACGAAAACAACATGATCTCATATCTAACCCAATATTATCAAAACATCACATGTTCATTTTTGTCCTACCAATGAAATTAAGATACTTCTGATTTTTATTTATTTTACAATTTATTATTTCATGTTCATTTTCTCTGTAAAATTTTGAATAAGTGATTTTTGTTCGGTTTTAAAACTTTTAAATGGAGAATAAAAAATTAAAATTTTCAAGAAAAAATTATTTTCATCTTCAACAACTTCTTCATTTTAGAGATTACAATATTAATTATATTTATTAAATATTTAATACAATTAATAGGGTAAAGAGATTGTAAAAATCTTTAAATTTAGAAAAATCTCTAAATAAAGATAAAAATTATTATTTTAATATTTTCCACCAATAAAAGATATTCAAAACAAATATTTAGAAAAGAGTGATAATATTTTATTAAAAATCTGAATATTTTAATGACATAATTAATGTTAAAATAAAGTAGTTGTTGGAACTGAATGTAATTTTTTTTGAATTTTTAACTTTTAATACTATATTTTAGAAACAATATAACATTGTTGTTGGAGATGATCAATAAATAATTATTTTTGAAGAGTTCTTCAAATTTAAATAATTTCACATTATCTCATATTTCCTTCATTTATGAAGAAAAAAAATCTGTTAAAACAAAATTCCTTAAATCTTCATTTTAAAATATCTGTTAAAAATACTCCTAACATTTACAAACTAATGAACTGCCTCCCAAATGTTTATTAGTTAGATTGACAAACTTTCAGTTGGTAAAAGTGGTGACTTTGTGGAGGGATTGTGGCCACTCTCTATGGTTCACTTTCAGAGATGGGGACTTTTATAGATGTTTTTGTGACCAGTCTCCTTGACCATCTTGTTGCTACCGATCTCTCTATGTGACATCTACATTCGTACCTGTTATTAAAATCATCAAACTTGCTCAAATACGTTTTATTCTTTTTTAACTAAAATCATTGTATTCTCAACTTACTACTGAAATTTTAAAGTCCAGCCTCTATAGAAACAATATTTGTATTTTTATCACTTTATTACTTGAAAGTGATTATAGCATCTGGTGTGCATTTGCACCGTCATTATGGTAACACAGATAACCACTTTGTGGACCTATAGATTTCTGCTACCATCTACCAACTTTTAATAACAATATTTTCCATTGAACTCTTTATATAATTCAATAATTGTTTAAATAATCAAAATAAAGAATGACTGAAAATACCTTTTCTCATACATTATTTATTTGTAAAACTCATGAGGAGAAAACAAAGATGTTTGAAAACGAACAAATATAAAAAATATATTTCAGAATATAATCGTGACAATCACAATGAAGCAATGAAAAAGAAAAAGAAATTGATGCCATCTTTTACTTTGATGAAAAACACCCACCAACCTTTTGATGCTTTATCAAATAGACTTTAGTCTAGCAGTATCGTAGTCTTTGACCTCCTAGAAGATCAGAGGTTCATGCCATAGATATGTTTGATCTTTTTATTGGGGAATATAATGCATTTTTTTTGGATTTGTCTGCCATTGATGTTGAAATTTATCTTTTGAATGAACTGATGTTTTGCTTATTCCAACGATCTCTCCAAGTTTGACGAATTGATGTTATTTGTAAAGTTCAACTAAACAAAATATAATTCATATTCAAGGGTAAAATAGTCATTTTGATTTGGGTTGCAGGATTTTCATTGGATATTTTCCAATTTAATAATAACTTGTTTTTGTTAAAACCCATTTTTATTTATAGCTTAATTCAATTGTCCATCGATGTATAAGAAACCACATGTTTGAATGGTCATTTTCATTGCCATGTGTCGATCGAACATGACGAAGGACTATATTAAGCTTGTCACGTCACCTCGCCAATTCTATTACCTTGCTTATTACATTTAACTGTCACATCCGAAAAAACATACTGTTAAATACGAAAGAGTAATGATATATCTGTCTAAAAATAGGTCTAACAGACACTTGTCCAAAGCTCCCACGAATACAAAACTCAACATCTCTGACTGTTTATAACTAATTTCGGTCCAAAAATGCCACCACATAACTTGTAATGGCAAAATCGGTCATTCATAACTACCCCTAGCTACAAGTAGGGCTGTCAACGAACCAAATTAAGTCAAGTTCGTTCATTAAGAAAATGGGTTTGTTCGTATCCGATCGTTAGATGCTAAACAAACAAAAAACAACCGACATCACTCGTCATCTCATTTCTCTCGAAAAAAACATAATGTGAGTAATTGAAACTTCAAAAGATTTGAAACCTTAAGTAGAAAGGAATGTAAATCAAAAAGTTACAATATATTTTAAATTAATTAATAATTTATTATTAACTATCTGGTATAATAAACAAACACAGATAAACAAACTATCATGAAGGTAATATATTGAATGGGACATTAGTTCATGTTCGTTCGTTTAACTAAACAAACCTAAAAACTTATTCATGTTCATTTATTTATTAAAAAAACAAACATAAATGAATTTTGTGTTAAACAGTTAACTAAATGTTCAATTTATTTTGTGAGGATACGTGTAAACCACATCAAATTAGTCTCTAAAAGAGTCACTGAGAAGAGAATAGATGTTCCAACATATATTCAAGATAAATGGTGTAAGTCTAGCAAATGTGAGACTCGAAAACACTCGCTCCAATGGAGGCTAGACGGAGATATTGTCATCCACCCCGTTATGCGAGCTGACTAATCCCAGGACGACCACCTGCTTTGAAGATAGCCCGGAGTCATCGCACTTGAACCTCCATGGCCATAAGGGGATTTTTATTCCTCTTTGAATTTGAACTTGAGACCTTTTGATACCTTTAATATTTAAAGTCAAACTCAAAACAATTAGACACCATCTTTATGATTAAAAATAAATAAAAAAAAGAGAAATCGAACATAGAGATGAGAATCAACTTGTCTTTTAGCAATACACTTTGAAAGAGGGTGGGATGAATTGTGTTGGAAAAATCAAAAGGTAAAGTTGTACTTCCATTTTCCATATCCCTCTCCTCAAACTCTCTCCAAACGCTATCTTCCCTTCTCTTTCTCATCAAACCTTTCATGATTCCCATCACTCTTCATAGTCTTCCCTTTACCTGAAGCCAATATCATAAATCTTTCATCCTTTTTTTACAAGGCAAGTTCTTAGGGTTCTTGATCACTGTCTTTGGAACATTTTATCTATTTCACATGGAGGTAATTCGTAATTCCATATAAAAATCGCCTGGATCCATATACTATTTGGGGTTTTCGAAATCTATTTCTTCACTTATCGGCCTTCGCATAATCTGGTATCGATCAATAATCTTTAACCTAAGCTCTTTCCCTCGAAAGGCTTTTATGTTGTAATGGGTTTTTCCCCTTTCAGATGGGTATGTGATATCTTTGTCGCATGTGTTGTCTATGATTGTTTTTACGAATTTAGCGGTCAACTCGTGATTGATTAGCCTTAAATTGAAGTGGGTGAACTTTAGGGGAAAAGGTTTATGTCGGCAAATTTAGGGGATCGTTTCTTCGAAAATTGCTGTTAGTCTTATGCTGTCTTTTGCATAGATGTTATGGTGTAATTGAGATTTTCTTTAATGGAAGAAAAATTGTTGTTAAATCAGAACTGGGTTCGAGTAGGAGATTTTGTTTCCTTTTATGTTTAATGTTGAATTTAAGAGGTTTTAAGGATGAGATGTACTTGCATACAATTTGGATTTACCTTTGAGCAACTGTGGGCTCTGACTTCTTTTACACCTTAATGATAATTTTAGGATGGTTCAGATGAAGTATGAACTTAATTTTACTTTGTGAAGCTGCGAATGTGTCTGATTTATGGTCTTTTTGATGTTAACTTCATGGGTTTTTGGTTATTTAGGTTCCGAGGATGGAAGAGGGCAAGAGCAAGAGTCATCTAACATCGCCTGCGGCTTTTGTGGAAGGAGGGATACAAGAAGCTTGTGAGGATTCTTGTAGCATTTGCCTTGAGGCTTTCTGCGATAGTGATCCTGGCACGGTATTGATTATATACTCTATATGTATATATGTTTGTATAGGGTTAAGTTTAGCGGAAAACCATAAAAAAGCGAAAAACTGGAACACCTCATATATACGGCATGCACATGTGCATACAAGTAATTTGTCCGGTATGCACATGTGCATAGCATGCACACGTGCATGGAAACCTGGAAACATCTTTAATTCCTTGTATGCATATGTGCATACCGCACAGATGAATGATTATCATTTATCAGGATTTTCTTCAGTTTGTAGTTTTTTTGGGGGGTTTTCCCTGAACCTCACTGTGTGTGTGTGTATATATATCTTATTTAGATGATGTATGAATACAAAGTTCTTGGTAATGTATGTGTTTCTTTTACTGTAGGTGACTAGCTGCAAGCATGAGTTTCACCTTCAATGCATTCTTGAATGGTATGATTTCGAATACGTTTATGATTATGAACTAACAAATATGGATGTTTAAGTATTATCTACACTTTGCAACATTCTACATTCTTTTGTCTTTTGGTTTAAAAAGGCCACAACTTTAGATGGATTTATTTGTGTTTTGTTAGTCAGTTTGCTATTAGAATTACATGTTGATTAAAAGTTCGTATATATGTTCAATATGTAGATGATAATTAAAACGTCCCACACTCCCACTTAATTGAACGAGTGTTGGTCGTGGTTAGGCATGTATTTACATGCATGTAAGTAAGCACCATATATCAACATTTTGTTCCGTCACAACTTTGTTGTATATCTATATGTCATAGCCTATCATATTAATACTTAGAAGTCGACTCTCGACCATGCTTTATTATCTCACATAACCATAGATATTTATTTACTTACCATGTTTATATATTTTGAAACCGAGGGTGTAGAAGGTTATCTTCAAATATCGAAGCATCTGGGATGATAATGAGCTAGAAAACCAATATATCTGAAAATCTAACGTTTTTGATACATTTTTTATAATAGGTGCCAAAGAAGCTCTAATTGTCCTATGTGTTGGCAAGCCATTAGCTTGAAGGATCCAACCAGGTGACCTACTCTTGTCATTATCCATGTTTCTATTTTAGTTTGTCCCAAAATAAGTGTCTGCTTTCCAATTCTACCCGTAATTATGAGGTGGAAAATTCATTATCCTTCTACTATTCAGGGTGAAATTGGCACTTAGTGAATTAAAAAGTGTAATAATTACTTATTTCTAAAACTGTATGTCTTTTTTTATGGTGGACATTTATTTGGGACAGAGGGAGAGCCTGTTTGTTAACAGCTTAATGAGACTCACAGCTTCTACGGTCAGCTATACACGGCTGTTTGTTTGTGGCTTAATGATATAAAAATTGGCTTATACAGTAAGACTATAAAGGAGCTTTATGCAGAAAGTCAAGTTTTTTCCAAACCTGTCCCTTCCAATTAAAGAACACTCTCCTTCCATCTATGAAAGAACCGACCCAAGCAAAAACCCTTCCAATCTATATAGACAAATTAATCCACACAACCAACTTTATCCATACATGACTTGATGGAAAACCAACCAAACAACCCCGGAATATTATTTTATTTTCAGATTGTGTGATAGATTTGGTTTGCTAATCCATGTAACATGCGCAGCCAAGAGTTATTGGAGGCAGTAGAACAGGAGAGGCGCTTCAGGTTCAATCCGACAAGAAATTCCACAATATTTCATCACCCTACTCTTGGTGATTTCGAACTACAACACGTATGTCACCTTTTTAAATTACATATGCGGTTAACTTTATAACAAAACGTAAGTTTGACACACGTATTCCCATTTTAGTTGCCGGTTGGTGTAAATGATAGTGAACTTGAGGACCGAATCATCCAACACCTGGCTGCTGCAGCCGCTATGGGTAGGACCCACCATGTGGGTCGAAGGGAGGGCTCAAGGAACCGGTCAGCGGCTCACGGTCGTCCTCAGTTCTTGGTGTTCTCCACCAACCCTAATGCACCTTCGGCTGCCACCATCTCGGCTTCTGCTGGTCCAGTTGAAGAGCCAGCTCAACCAGTTGCTGTTGCTTCACCGGTTGGAGGGGAAGCTGAACCGGCTGCCGTCGAGTCCGTTAGGGCATCGGCCCCATCTACAGCTCGTGGGGGTGGGACCGTTCAACAAATGCCGGCATCTGGCACATCGCATAGTCCACAAGGGACCTCGGTAATTCATAGGTATTCATGTTACTCCAATTCTTTTTGTGGGTATTTACTATTTACATGCTGGTTATCTATCAATTTTACACGGACTCTAGCCTTCAAACGTTACAAAAGGTGATTATATCTAATACATCAATCTTAACGAATAAATGAGCTGTAAATCTATAATCGAGGGTTGGGTTCTGGTGAGAGGGGAAGTTATGGTGAGAAGCATAAGAAGAGATCACTACCCTTGGATCAATCCTAATTGAATATCAACACTAATGAGGTGCACCAAGATGCACCGGATCAATTCCCTTCTAAAGCGCAATTCATGGGTGGACATGAGATTAAAAGTGATCAATTGTTCAGATATCTTCTTATGCTTCTCACCAGTCACCATAACTTTCCTTCTCACATGATCCTCCGCCTACCATACGAACACCTGATTTAATCAATACGTAATTTGTTGCATATCGTGTTTTAAAGACCGAGCTGTTTCTATTTTTAATATTTGTCTAAAATAGACATGGGTGTCGAAATTTCTTGAGAAGTTGAAAAAACATCCCTATTTATTGAAAAGTTAAAAAAACAGTCATATAAAATTTGAAGTCAAGTTGTCTTTTTTGATGTTGGCTACTTGCAGAAGCTCGAGTAGTCTGTCCGCCCTGCCTGATCAAGATATAGCAGGGCCATCGGAGTTGCAAGCAGTTTCGGATACATGGAAGTCTAGATTCACTGCTATTTCAATGAGGTAGGACTTGTTAGAAATGGGTATTATATTTGATTGGGCATGTTAAAATGAGAACCGTAAATCTTTTGAGAACATGAGAACCAACTATTCATGCTTTATTCATGATAGATATTCATAATTATTTAAGGTTATTCATTATGAATAATACATAAAATAGTTGGTTACCAACACTCATTTGAACTTTCTGATTCGATATCTGAAATAAGTTTGTTTTTTTGAAGATACAAAGAATCAGTTTCGAAGAGTACAAGAGGGTGGAAGGAGAGGCTTTTCAACAAGAGTCCATCCATGTCGAATATTGGTACGGAAGTAAGGAGAGAAGTTAATGCTGGAATTGCTAACATGTCTCGGATGATTGAGAGGCTTGAAGTCCGGGAAAATAACAGACAAGACCAGGATCATGATTCTGCATCGAGTAACTGGACTTCTGGTCCGGGAGAAGATAACCGTAATCATGTTGAGGCACCCGGTGCTGGTGCTGGTGCTGGTGCTGCTTCAAACTAGTGTGTGTTTTGCTGCTTGTTTGAGCAATAAAATCTTCTGCTGGCACTTGCCTTTGAAGGTGAGTTATTAAATGTCCTTTGACTTTCCTTCATATGGTCTCTTTAGAATTTTTGGATTACTCTCCAAATGAGCCCTTAAAGAGGGATGGCAGGTTCCTAAGGGTCTTTGCAGAGTACTCTACGGGGTTCTTTACGATCTCATATGGTATCAGAGTCAAAGTTTACTACTTTAGGGACTCGACACTGTAGGATGAGCTGTGACCGTCTAAGAGCATCTCCAACTGCTATGCTAAAATATAAATTTTAGCGATTTAGGGTATATTTTTGCTCCAACAGCTATGCTATATCGTATGTTAACATAGGAAAAATAAGAGATGATAGAAATCTCCAAATTTGGAGAAATCTCTAAAACTCCATGTTTATAAGAGAGAAATAATATTTAATTACTTTTCACCAATAGGAGAAATTGAAATTAAGTTTTTAGGAGGGAAATAATATTGTACTAAATGATATAAATATTTTAATAATATAATTGTTAGAATAGAGTAGCTGCTGGAGTTGGATATAATTTTTTTTAGAGATTTTAACTTTTGATACTTTATTTTAGAAAAATTATAACATAGTTGTTGAAGATGCTCTACCCCCTCAACGACACTTTGGGCAATATTTTACTGTCTAGCCTCTGTTGGAGGGGGCGTCTTGGAACCACATAGGCTAGACTTGGATCATTTCCCCCCATATACTTATGAACCTTCCCTCTCTTCTTAGGGTGCGTTTGGTGTCCAGGACAGAACAGGTTAGGACATGACATAACAGGTTAGGACATGACATAGCAATTGTTCATTGGTAAGACAAAGCTTGATAGAACAAAACAAGTAAAATGACCAATTTACCTCTAATGAGTTGTTTATATATATATATATATTGATTAATTTATGTAATTTATTAAATTATAATAAAATAATTACTTTTATAACAAAATATATCGTTAGAAAATTTTCATCAAAACAATTAAAATGACATCAAAATAAAAAGTTTATGTAGTTTCCAATATTTATTTTATCCCTTTTCTACATTATTTTTATTATTATTAATATATAACAAATTACATAAATTAATAAAAAATAGAAATCGTATAAAAATAATATTTTGAGGACAGTATAATGAAAGTTTAAAAAACATGAAATACCATAAATAAAATTTAAAAAATGAATAAAACGAAAAAAAGAGAGACCTATTTGATGTTTTAGAAGAGAATTAAGTATTATTTTGAGGTTATATTGGTAAATTACAAGTCTGTTTCACCCAGTTCCACGGGGTAGGGATGGAATCGAACAGGCCTATTCCACTTTGTTCCTGTCTGTTTCACGTGCAAACATAGAACAGTGATCCCTGTTATGTTATGTTCTATTCTGTCTAGTATACCAAACGCCTCTAAAGGACTCTTTTGGAGAGTTAAGAACAGTATGGGCTTCTACATATTTTCCCATGGTTTCATAGTCAAAATCTATCACCCTAGGGACTCGACTCTAGACAATCTGTTCCCATCTAACCCCTCACAACACTTTTAGATGATCCATGCCCGTCTCGCCTGTGTTGAAGGGGGAGTGTTGGAATTACACATTGGCTACACTTGGATCATTTTTCGTTCATATATGTTGGAACCTCCCCTATCTCCATAAGGATTCTTTTGGAGAGTACTCTGATGGAATTCCATATATTCTCACATGGTCAACCAGTAATTCTTATGTTAGATATTGATGTTTCTTTTATCAGTATGGCCCTTTTCGTTTCTTGTTCTTACCATTGTTATTATTATTATTATCGTTGCAGGTCGTTGAAAAGCCGTATCCAGATAGATAGACAGGTAAATGAGCTGGTGAAGACTTCTAAAATCTTACAATCGGGTTGTAAATGATTTTAATTGGGATTTAGATTATTGCAGAGTTACTTTTCAAATCTTTTGGCGATCTCTCTATGAACCATATAAGCATTAGTTTTGTGGGGCTGTATCCCTGCGAGGGAGTTCAGCCCACCAAAACTGATGCTATGACATAAAACTGATGTTATGATATTTGATGGTGGTGAAGAAAGTGAGAGCCATCCTCACCCACCCCATGATTGTTCGTTTATACATTTATATTAATTACTGTTTGCAATCTACATGGGTTAATATCAAACAATCTACATGGGTTAATATTAATCTCTATTTAGTACGAAATTTACAGAGAAATATCTTTAAATAAACGAAATACGTCTGTAAGTGAACCATTTTTATATGCTATTTGAAGACGTCGGAGGTTTTCATGAAAACAGTTGATCTATCACTAACATCTCTCTAGTTTCCCCATTTCTCTCCTATGCCATCTTTTTCCTTGAGACTTTTGCAACATCTCAAACCCTCAGTTCAAACTCCATCCAATCGCTTTGAGTTTTTTTTTATTAACCTGGATATCCAACCCGCTATGCGAGTCACCTAATCCCAGGATAACCACTTGCTTTGTGGGTAGTTATGAGTCACCGCATTTGAATCTCCGTAGCCACAATGTGATTTTTATTCATCCTTGGATTTGAATTTGGGACCTCCCGACCAATACTTATATTGATTATATTTACTTTGTTCGTTGGATTCTTAGGAATTCCAAAGAAGAATCTACTTCAACCGATATGCCCATAGGCACGGCCATACATAACATAGAAATCACACTTGGAAAGGGGGCCGACTAAGCCAAAAGCGAGAGAAACCTCATCCCTCTCTTTCCTTTTTTTTTTTGCAGTGGAAAAATAAAATCCAATGAGGATTTAGTTCATCCGACACGTACACGTCATGGACATCCTGCTTTTCTATGTTCTAGAGACTTGTATGTAACTATTGAGAGTGAAGATATTATACAAATGTGTATATTCCGCCCAAAAGTTTTCTCGGATTTGACTACCCCTTTCTTTTCTAGGGAAGATGTTAATCGCAGAGATAATGAAATTTCCATCTCTCCCACTTCACACCTCGGAACGTGCTGTTCTTATAGAGATAAAGACACTTTGACATCTTTTTAACCCGAAATGGCTGGGGAGAGTAAAGGTTCCTTGCAGTAGAATAATGACTTAGGAGGATTTGAAAGATATTATGACATTAAGATTTCCAAGGTTTAGCTCAGGGCCCCACTACTCACTTGTAGCATTTGGAGCCCAAACTCAAACCAATCAGACACCACTCGCATTGAGTTCAATACTAGCTTGATAGGAACATAGTTAACTTTAGTTGTTTGTTTTCATGTACAATTTTGGACATTATTTTGTTGCATTTTAAGTTCAATATGAGTGTTAACTGCTCTTTTCAGTTATTTAATTGATGGTTGTATCGATTGGTTTCGTCCAGATCCCTTGGATATGAATTGATGAAGACCCCTACTATTAAATAAGAATCAAGCTTTGTCCATATAAAAACCAAGCTGCTATCTATTTTTTTAAAGTATATAATATTTATATATGATAAATACAACAAATAAATTCATACACCCTCCTTACGTTGGACTTTTAAAAAACATACATATATAAGAAAACCCAGATTAATAATGTTATTCAACTTATTTCTGTTGTGACATAAAGCATTATATGAACTCAAATTTCCCATTTTAATTTTAAAAAACTATAAATATTTGGACAAAATTTTAAATACAAACTAATTAATTGAGATATTTATGGAAATAATAACAGTTTATTTATTATAATTTAGATATTTATAAAAAATAATTAAATTATAATCAATAATTTATATTAGAAAATAATATATAAAATCAAATATTAGGGCTTGTTTGTTTATCTCTTAATAGTTTCACTAAGAGACGACATCTGAATCGTTAAAAGATGAATTTTGTTTGGCAAAAAAAAGTCTGTCTCTTAATGGTTCTAAAACTCTTTTAATGATTTTGTATTCTGGGTCTCCCTTAACCATTTAGATTTTAGCACCCTAATTCCATTTTAAACAATTACCAAACAATTATATTTTATTTTACATTATATTATAAAAACCTTTTAATTATTTTGATTATTTAATTATTTTGTACTAAATCATTCAACAATCGTAAAATAATCCTTAGAATTTGTATGAATGATATAATTTACACATGAAAATTGTAGAATGTAGAGGGACAAGTGGGTGGCAGCAGCTGTTTTAGCAACCGCTATAACATGTTATTTGTTCACGGGCCTTTGTCTCCTCCTAACGTACGATACGACACCACATCTCGTCGTTTCGTTCTCTTCCTCTCTCTCCTTCCTTCTTCATTCCGCCATAACCAAGACCTCCCCAAAACACATTTCATCATACTCTAGAGAGAGAAACAACTTGGACAAAATAGTCTACGCCCACCTTCTTTCCCCATCTCAAAATTGTATTCAATCTTGATATTTTCACAGTTTTAGCACCATGGATTCTCAGATCTATGGTGCATTGGGGATCTTCCTTTTCATATTTTATCTCATACCACCGGCAGCCATTAATGCAACTCAACTGCCCACCAAATCAAGTTCCGCCCAGATCAACTCCAACTCGGTTCTTGTAGCGCTTCTTGATTCGCACTACACTGAGTTATCTGAACTCGTTGAGAAAGCGCTTCTGTTACAGACCCTTGAGGAAGCAGTTTCTCATCATAACATCACCATTTTCGCACCCAGTAATGAAGCTCTTGAGAGACATTTAGATCCTGAGTTCAAACGCTTCTTGCTTCAACCCGGAAATCTCAAATCTCTTCAGAATCTCTTGCTTTTTCATATCATTCCGTCTCGGGTCGGGTCGAAGGAATGGCCCGGGGAGGATTTGGAATCAGTAGCCTACTATGAAACACTCTGCATTGAGGAAGTTGGCAATCACCTGCCGCTGACCCGAGAAAGTTCCGGTGATAAAGTAGTCGGTGGTTTAGCTAGAGTGACCCGACCCGATGATGTCATCCGAGAGGACGGGTTGATCCATGGGATTGAGCGGCTGTTGGTTCCCCGATTGGTACAGGAAGATTTTAATCGGAGAAGGAGCTTGAGTTCTATTTCTGCGGTTTTACCGGAAGGAGCTCCGGTTGTGGATCCGAGAACCAACCGGTTGAAGAAACCGGCCACTCCTGTTCCCGCCGGTGCTCCACCGGCACTTCCGGTATACGACGCGATGGCTCCAGGTCCATCTCTAGCTCCAGCACCAGCACCAGGTCCCGGCGGACCCCGCCACCACTTTGACGGCGAGAGTCAGGTGAAAGACTTCATCCAAACCCTCCTCCATTACGGCGGCTACAACGAATTAGCAGATATTTTGGTGAATTTGACGTCATTAGCAACGGAGATGGGGAAGCTGGTGTCGGAGGGTTATGTTTTAACGGTGTTGGCCCCCAACGATGAAGCCATGGCTAAACTGACGACGGACCAACTGAGTGACCCAGGTGCGCCGGAGCAGATAATTTACTATCATCTGATACCGGAATATCAAACGGAAGAGAGTATGTATAATTCAGTACGGCGGTTCGGCAAGGTTCAGTACGATACTTTGCGGCTGCCACATAAGGTGGTGGCGGAGGAGGCTGATGGTTCAGTGAAATTCGGGCAAGGGGAGGAGCCGGCGTACTTGTTTGACCCAGATATCTACACCGATGGGAGAATATCGGTGCAGGGTATTGATGGGGTATTGTTTCCGCCGGAGCAGACGGTGGAGAAGCCGGCCGGCAAAGTTGGACCGCCATCGCCGGCTAAGGTTGTGGCTGAGCCAAAAAGAGGTGTGTTTATTGCTTCTGATTACAGTAATTAATGCTATTTTATCTCGTTCTTCATAGAATACAGCTAAGGTTTTTTTAAGATTCATATGATTGCCAAATTGTTGTTAGCATTGATGATCAGATACCATAATAATCCATGAAACAAACGATCAAATGGAAGATATTTGAATGGTTCAAGAATCAGTCTAACATTTACAAAGCATCATCCCAAGTGCTCCAACTTTTTGATGTCAAAGAAGTAAAACTCCAATGAATTTTCTTATCAAACAACAGAATATGGAGTCTGGATTCTGAATTACAAGTTCACGAAACCGGAATTTTGGTTAATAGTTGTCAAATTCATAGATATTTGATGACCACTAACGTCGTGTTATTTACTTGAAACCCATCAATTACCTCGGACACAATCCAATAAAGATCAATTCCATGTTATTTAATAGTGTTCTCTTTTTTTGCAAAAGAGAACAATAGTTGGTTAATGTTTAGTACCATATTTGAGTTGAATTGTGACATATAACTCGATCAATGCATGCGTGTACGTATTCGTAGAAATGTGTTTATGACATTATTACTTGCTTGCATTGCATCACATTGCTTGCTTAACTATGGCATTTGGTAACTTCTTTTTTGGTGGGCAACTTTAGAAGTGGAAATGGGTGCTTTTTGAAGTAGTGAAATAACAAAACACAATTGCAAGTTACAACTATAGCATGCTTGGATCTTGAAATGGGCATTCTAGTGGGAAAAAGTTCTTAGGGTCTGTTTACTAACTGTGTGGTCGTGAATTTAAGAAAAGACAGGAAATGGAGGGAAAAGAACGTAAAGGAAAATAAAGACAAGGAAAGAAAGTTAATTTTTTTGTGTTCTTGAAAGGGAAGGAGACCGTTTATCTTGTTCTTGAACAGGAGAGAAAGGAAATGGAAGATATCATTTTTACAAATATACTTTGATGGTGTTAAATTGATGGGTAGTTTTGTACTTTTACTAAATTGTCCAAGAGTTGTCATTCCCTTTTTCATTTCCCCCTCTGATAGATTCTTATTTTTGAGTTTCAAGGCAATGTTGTTGAACTCCTGCTTCCATCATCTCTTCCAAATTAATGTTCCAATATCTTCCCTTCCTTTTCTTTTCTTCCATAAAAAAGGTATCAACAACACAATGTGTAAGTGCTTACAGCCTCCTACCAGATAAGTGGTGCTTACCGGATAAGAGATAATGTTGTTGACTGAGATGCTGACCCTAAGAGTGGAAAGGCTTACTTACTTACCTGGCCGGAGCATCTTACCCGATCAATCCTTACCACATTCCTGTAGTAAACCGCCACTAGTCTTGGGAATGTTGGAAGGTTGAATACAGCTTCTAGAATTATGACATCCAAGTTTGGCTGACGTGATGCAATAGACTACTCAAAGTTGTGTTAAATGATACATGGTATTGTCATGCCATTTACATACAATTTGATAGGCTGAGGGGCATGAGGAGGGGGGCAAGCCGAAGACGAAGAGGATGTGTGATGAGCAACTGAGATAGCAAATTGGGTATGTTTGTGGGTTTTGTTTGATTTGGTATGGTTGGTTGGTTTGTGCTTTCACCTCTACTCATCATGTTTTACTGGAACTTGCACTTGAAGCCTAAACATAACTCTGTATTCATTCTTCATCTTGGGTCCCCTTTCTGTTTTTAATTGATGTTATTCCATCATTTCTTGTGCTCTAGAACTTGTACATTATTCTGTGTTTTTGCTTTTATACCCCTCTTGGTGCCAAGTATGAATAATTCATAGTGTCCACATATAATTCTGGATATGATTGCAATGCATTAGGTACAAGCACTAACGCATAAAATTATAGAATAGAAGCTTGTGTATATATATGTTGATATGTATTAAATTTTCAATCTTTTGAGACAGACATTCTTGAAAATGATGGAATCCATCATAATCATGCTATAATAATTGGAAAATGAGTTGGGATTTTTGGGTTTTAATTGGATTTATTTGTAAATGCAGGGAAATTATTGGAAGTGGCATGTTCAATTGTTGGAGCATTTGGACAAGATTCCCAATTTACAAGCTGTTATTGATTTCTATTATAAAAAGTATATTTTTCAAAGAGAGTTGAGTGCATTAAAAGGGGAAATAAAACAGCCACAGATCTGCAGACTCAGAGGTGAGTTTATTATCAGTTCCAATTCCATTAATGGTCACAGCTACTTATTATGATGAAACATTGTCTTAATAATTACCAGATTTCAGAAAGGAAGGTGTCCAGATATAGCAGCAGACAGATAAAAGAAAGGGTTAGCATATGGATGGATGCTGCAGTTTGCATTCAAGAAAGTTTCCCAAAAAAGAAAGTTTGATTTTTGTTCTTTTCTTTAATCCTGATATTTCTTGATTTCTTTTTGAGTGTAATTACTACTTCTGCTAGGAGTGATTTTTGGGAACATATTATTATTATGCAAATACATAAATCATTTTGTACCGATGAACTTATCAAATTTGTTATAAAACGAGATCATTGTTGCTCGTTAGTTATTAGGGTCGCCCATCTTTTTGGAGGTAGTGTTACGCTTGTATTGAAAGTATAGTCACTGAATAAGTAATAAATAAAACAAAATATAAAACTTTACACACACCAGATATTATATTAAGTCTTGCAAGTAAAACAATAAAGATGTCTTGAATGATATAGTAACATGCATGATTCATTTAAAAATAGAATCATTCTTTTGACATTGTTGGGAGCAAATTCTTTGTTTGGTTTTCTTTTGAAGTATATAACATTTATATACGGCAAATGCAATAAATAAACTCACATACCCTTCTCATCTTTAGTGAAGTTTGAACCCCTGACTTCATAGGAGGTTAAAGACTACGATACCGCTAGGCCAATACCCTTTTTTCTTGTTCGGTTTTTCATAATCAACTTTCTCTACTAATTTGTTAATGTGAAAGATTAGCATATAGGAGCTCATTTACTAATGTTTACCTCAAGTTTTAAGAAACCCTAGCTCGATTTTAGGACAAATTCTCTTCCTTAACTTTTGACTTTTGTGCGCCTTTTCAAAGGGCTATAATACCTAGAACAATGACGATCGTATCACGGTAGACGAAGTCAAGGAAACTGCAAGTGAAACTATTCTTTGAACGAGAAAAAAAGAAACAAAGAACAAGAAAGTGGAAGATTTTTAATAGGGTCGTGTTTGGTGTTTCAATCACAAAATTAACCATCGGAAAAACAAAAATGAACGGGCTAGCTGATAGGATAATTCAATCTCCAAATTAAAATCTTGAGAGTAGATTTGCAACCCTAATCGGGAATCCACTTGGACCAAATGGACTAGCTTGGGTTAAGACTCGCAAGAACACTGAACCCATCAAACTCAAAACAATCCGAACGTAAGTAATGCATAATTCCACAGGAACCCATTAGTTTGTTATGCAAATCACAGGTTTAAATTCAATAAAGAGACAGATACATTTAACAGTGTATAAATTTAGAAAACAACCAAATTTTTGACACTAAATTGCACCAAAACCATTCACTACACAGAACCCTTAGAAACTTCAAAACAAAGAACAAGAACCTCCTATTACATACAGTTATCGACAACATTTTTATCCAAATTTTAACCTCCAACGGCAATGTCTGCAGGGGTCATATCCTGATTGGTTGAACTTGAACCGAACCCACTTTCCTGCGTCGTATTAACATCTACACAACCTTCAACTTTCTCCTCTTTGGCTTCTGTCTTTAAGGCCTTTTCTTTTGACTTGCCAGTTTTGACTTGTGAGGTCTTAGCCAACGGTTTTATGTTTGGTTTCTTGGAAGCAGCAGTCTCTTTGTTGCGGTTTGTGGGTTTGATCCTAGGTGACATGGTTTGGTCTCTAGCGACATGGGGGCTATGAACCGTGTCTGTTTGTTCCACGGATGCAGCCACAGAGCTCTTGATTCTTCCCAGCCTAGGTGATTTGGGACGTGTGGTTGGTATCTGTAAATACAAACATACATACACACAAATAAAGGCACAGTAACCCAACTTTAAGGGCTAGTTGCTCCATTGGCAAATAAAGGTCGAGGGCCATTGGACATTTTCCTGACTGTTATCTTTAGAACCCCATAGGATTAGTCGAGATACATGCAAGCTGACCCAAGGCGAATCTAGCATCCGAGCCACACTTTAACATATCCACAAAGCAGCATGAATGTAGTTTACAAGGGGTTTGGAAAAAAAAACTAGGTTTTCTGTATAAAGCTCCCCCTAGAAGCTTACTGAATAAGCTACTTTCTAAATCATTAAGTCACTAACAAACAGTTGTGTATAGGGCACCATTAAGCTCCTAACAAACATGCCCTAATGCAGTAGAGCACATAAAAAGGTCGAATAAAAAGGTACCTTCTTGAGTTCAGGTTTTGGAGGGGGATCTTTGTAAAACTTTGGCATTGGTGCAGCTTTAAATTTCAAGCTTTTCCTCAACTTCTTTATCTCTTCTTCTTGGTTTTCCTGCATTTTAAAAACGAAGTGATTAAAGTGTTTCGATCCCCACATTTTCGGTTGGATAAAGAGTTGAAGAACGACACCTTTGACTTGGCTTGCAAGTTAGTTTCTTCGACTTCCTTGGCATGGACCTTCTCCTCTATCTTCAGATAAAACTAGTGCCCAAATATCAAACATGCATGATTGTTACATTTCATATCAAGAAAGCAGCAAAAAGAAACAACAATGATATAGAAGTCTCGAGGTGGGTTCATTTAGGAACCTTAAATATTTTAGGACTACAGAAACTCAGTAACCATCTATTTTGCGAGTATTCACAGTGTTTACTCACAAAATAGGTGGTTCGTGAGTTTCTAAAAAGTTTAAGGTTCCTAAATGGACCTTCCCCTAAAAGTCTCATAATGTACCTCTCTTCGCCTTTCAGCTCGTTCATCCAACTTGAAAGAAAATCCAGAAGCGCTGCTCCCACTATATGATCGAGAAGACGCTGATGCGGCAGTCTCATTGGATAATGTAGCTTCGTCCCTGGACCTCACAACCCGTGGTTTGATGGGTTGTCCGTCAATGCTAGTCCTCATGGAACCAGGGGTTCGGGTTTTGGCAGGGAAAGATAAACTCTGGGACAGGCTCGGTCTGGGCTTACGAGCCAACGCACTAGTGCTGGAGCCATCTTTAGCCACTTTGGTGGTGTTCTTGGAAGTACCACTCCCTTTGGTGGTAACCTTAACCGAATTCGGGGTTTTGGGGTCATTCTTAACATTCTCACAAGATTCATCCCCTCTTGTGCTTGATGAATCAAGATTTTGTTCATCAACTTTGTTCAAGTTTTGGGGATCTGTCACATTGGTATCCACATCCTCAACAACTTCAATAACAGCATTTTCAGCTTCTAAATTTCCAGAATCCATCTCTATTAGAAAACATCAATTTTCAGTAAACAGTTGACGAATTAAATCACTGTTCTTAATCGAAACAAACAAGTATTGGGGGAGATTAAAGAAACCCCAGATCACATAATCAAAAACTCAATCAATTCCTAGAAAATGGAATTAGTATGTATACAACTGAAGATTAAAACGATGAATTAAGCAAGTAGAAAGATCCAAGAAAACACAGAAGTTGAAACCGTCAAAAGATTGAAGAAAACAAACAACGTTAGGAAGAACAAAGGGGGAATGAAACCTTAACGATGAGGTAAAAGGGTGTACCTCGTATGGAAGGTTTAATGGAGGTCCTGTGAATGATTTGTGTGACTGAAGAAGAAGAATCGTTTAAAAGTTGGTGTGTTTCTTGGATGTAGAGAGACAGAGAAAGAAGAGACAGATGGATGAGTTGGTGGGGGATTGTGTTGGTTTGTGTAATTTGGTATTTGGTAAATAAAAATATATATTCAATTTTAACAAATTTTTTATTTTATATCTTTTAATATTAATTATATTATTAAAATATTTATTTTATCTAATAAAAAATAGTATTTCTTTCTCTAAATTTTTATTTTTAAAATTTTTTATTAATAAAAATATATTAGATAATATATTTTTCCTTTATCGTAATCATTCCAAGGTGTTCTCTAAATTTGAAGATTTTTAAAATCTTTTTATGTTTTTATTTTAGAGAATCCAAATCACCATTTTCTCTATTTTGGAGATCTTTTGAATATTAAAAGTATTTATACTACCTTGTAAACTAGATTTATCAAAAGTCTTAAAAACAAATTTTAATGCACAAAGTACTATACATTTATGCACAAAGTCTTAAAAGTCTTAAAAACAACTCATAATGCATTAAATACTACTACTTTATGTATTCGGTCTTAAAATCTTTTAATCTACAATCAAACTACCATATAGGACAAGTTACCAATGCACATTATCACCTTTTTTTTGTTTCTAAGATATTTTTGACACACCTTTCATTCATGTTTTCACTCTCATATCTCTATGTCTTCTCCCCATCCTCCAAGATGAGATTCAAACTGATATTCACCATGAGTTATTAAAAGTTCTCTCATTCATCTCTCATCTCGCTCTCGATCTCTTGATTCTTTGCTCTTGGTGTAAATCAAACACATTTGTAAAGTCGTTTAAATATGTTGGATTTTACATATATTGGATTTTAAAGTGTTATATAATTTTTTTCATCGATAGATTGTAATTGGAATCATAACTCTTATTTATTCAAATTGTATWAATATGTAAAGACCAAGTGTAACTTATATCATCGTTAAATCTTCTCTAATAAAACCAGTAAAACTTTAAAATCGTTAAAATTCACGGTTCCTATTACATTACGCGAATACATAACTAATAATATTAAAAAAATATTACATCTAATTTGAATAGTTTTTTTTAATTTTAAAGATTACAATATTGATTATATTATTAAAATATTTAATAAAATATTATTATTTTCTAAATATTAAAATATAGTTGTTTGGAGATGATATAAGTGAATAACGTTACTACAAACGATATTGATTTTCATATTTATAAAATATTTTAAGAAAATAAAAATGACGTCATAAACATATATTTTTGTGCATTGTATTATAAATTATTTAATTAATGTTTATACGTAAAACATTCTAAAAACGATGTGATATAAGGTTATAGGGAAAAAACACAAGGTGGGCGGGAAATCGAGGAAAGCAGGTGAATATATGCCAACGTGGCAGAAAGGAGCAAGATGATTGGTCCCACGTTGTACCCCAACAACCCCCTACGTTTGAGCTGTCTTAACGTGCACCGTGATCTTTTATCTTAATCAACGCCTGCTTCCCAAATGAAATCTGAGCCGTTGGTTCACGTTTTTAGAGTGGCTTCTACTCTTCGTTTATTCCTCTCATCATTAACATGTTGTATATACTTTTTTAAATCTAATATCCAAATTTTTAGAAATTTTTAATTACATTTATTAATTAATAAAAAATAATAATTAATGATAGAAAGTAAATATGAATCATTTTTTACGTGTATTTTTTGTTTTATAAAATATAAAATAAACATACTATGAAACAAATATATGTTAATTAATATTAAGAATCACAGTGATTCTTAATACTGTAATTGAAAATGTACCTTTTCTTTCTTTCATTTTATGTGTGTGCAAAGTCATGGTGCATTCTACAATTCAAAATGCATCATTCAAATTGTTGTGTGACACTTGGAATACAAAACAAACAACAAAAAATTTCATATCAACAAACCGGCACCGGAACCCGCTCCCGAAACCCGATGCTGAAATCATTCTTTGGTTGCTTCTTAGCGCCACTTCCACCGTGCATCATTGCAACGAACTCGTTATAGTCTATACGTCCATCCTGCAAGTTTTAACAACCCAAACACATTCAACACACACCTTTTCACACAAAAATCTATCAATATTTCGCCATAAAATGGATTCAGAACGGATATATTGATGGCAAAAAGCCAAAAACGTACGTTATTTTGGTCTGCTTCTTTGATAATTTCTTCTAAATGAACATCATCTACTCCAAACTCTTTGCATGCTTGTTGGAGTTCATCAAGGGTGATATAACCACTGTCATCTTTGTCGAAATGGGAAAAAGCAGCAAACAGATGATCTTCTCTATTGACTTTGTTCATATCTAGCGTTGCAGCTACAAATTCTTCATAGTCGATTGTGCCATTATTATCGATATCCGCCTGCAGGTTCAGTTTAAACGATCAAAAATCAACAAAATGCGACAAAAAAGGGAAAAAAGAACCTTGAAAAGGTTAATTATAAGTACTTACAGATCGCATTAGATCATAAATCTCAGATTCTTTGAGATTAGAACCGAAACACTTGACTCCAGCCTTAAGTTCTTCGAAAGTAATATAACCACTATTGTCTGTATCTATTATCTTGAACATTTGTTTTAAGCCGGCAATTTCTTCCTCTGAGAGTTTTGATGCGATGAGCTGCAAAAAACATTAGATGGGTTAGGTAAAGGTGATGTTTTTTTGCAATGGGATTTAAAGAATGAAAGAAACCCATATGTCGGATTGAAGTAGTTACCCTAAGAGCCATTTTCTTGAGCTTGTTCATGGCAAGAAACTGAGTTAAGCGACTCAAGACGGCAGAATCGAGAGGCTTGTCTGGAGCAACACCATCTTCGCTGATCCACGGGTGGCCTAAGGTGATCACAACAAGAATCAGAATGAGTATGCCAAGAGGCGGAGAATGAAGGTTCCAACATATATTAAAAAGAAATGGTTCAGGTCTAACTGATGAGGACTCTAACACGCCCCCTCCAATGGAGGAGGCTAGACGGGCATAGACTGCCTCAAGTATCGAGTCCCTACAGTGATAATATTGGCTCTGATGCCATGTGAGTATACGTGGAACCACTGTAGATTACTCTCCAAAAGAGCTATTCAGGAGAAAAGGGAGGTTCAATATGTTATGGAGAAATGGTACAAGTCTAGCCAATGTGGGACTCTAAGGGGTTGTTTGGTTTGTTTTTATCAAGTTCTGTATAGATAAAGCTGTCTGTGTGGATTAACTGTTTATATAGATTAAGAAGGTTTTTGTTAGGGAGATTCTTTTCATAGACGGAAGAAACGTGTATTTTAATTTGAAAAGAGTGGTTTCGAAAAATTTGGCTTTCTGCATAAAGTCCCCCATAAGCCAAATTCTATATTATTAAACCACTACCAAACAGCATGTATATCTGACCGAATGAGTTGTGATTAATCTCATTAAGCTGCTAACATACAGGCTCTAACACTACTAATTGCTTTCATAGGAAAATCTAATCAGCAATTAAAGAAGAATCGAAGAAGCAAGACTTACAAAGAACTCCATGAGCCGTTATCCGCCTTTTGGGGTCTCTAACGAGCATTTTCCGAACCAAATCTTTAGCACTTTCAGAGATACTAGGCCATGGATCCGAGGAGAAGTCAAGTTTACCCCGCAAAACCTCTTCAAATATGTCATTCTCGGATTCTGCATCAAAATAAAGAACTTAAATGGCGATACGACTTGAACAAAACATCAAGTATTAGCCAATTACTACAATTTTTAAGCTTACCTCCCCAAAATGGAGGCACCCCACAAAGAAGAATGTAAAGGATCACACCAGCACTCCAGATATCTGCTTCTGGACCATAATGTTTTAGCAAAACTTCAGGTGCAACATAGTAAGGACTTCCAACCACATCGATAAAAGTTTCCCCTGCGATTTAGACCACAATTTATCAACCCAAAAGCCAATAAAGAATCATAATTCATACACACAGAATTAGTTATATGATCCAAAAGGTACCTGGCTTAAAGAAAACTGAGAGCCCAAAATCTATGGTCTTAAGAGGCGAATCTTCATGTTCATCAACAAAAAGAAAGTTCTCAGGTTTAAGATCACGATGCATCACTCCTAAAGAATGACAAGCCTCAATCACACCAACAATAGTTCTAGCAAGATCAGCTGCCTTTCTTTCAGAATAATGCCCTTTTTTTGTAATCCTATCGAACAGTTCACCACCAGCACAAAGTTCCATCACCAAATGAACTGCCACAGAGTCTTCATAAGCCCCTTGAATCGAAACCACATTCGGGTGTCCAGATAAATGATGCATAATTTCAATTTCCCTTCTGACATCCTCCAGATCTTCATCGGTTAGCAACTTCCGCTTAGCTATTGATTTGCAGGCAAACTCTTTGCCTGTAGTCTTCTCTATACAAAGAAAAGTTGTACCAAATTGACCATGTCCTAATTTCTGACCCAAATTATAGAACTCTTTCAAATGCCCAGTTTTGGTTTTCAACACTTTATCAACTTGTAGCCCTGCACTTTTAATTCTCTTCATGTTATTGGGCTTTTTAACATTAGATGTCACTTTTGGCTGTGATGATTTGGTCTGTTGCTTCACTGTCACAACCTTTTCGGATTGTCTTTTCGCACCTTCATTTGGTTCTTGATTAGAAGCCATGGGCTGAGATGGTTTAGTCTCATTTTTGGCGATGATCACCAATCGTGGAGGTGTCTTTTGAATTGGTGCAGGAGCTTTAGGATCTTTGTCTATCGATGGAGGTTGTTCGCTAAATTCACCATTCTTGTAATATATCAAATCGGGTGATCGAGACCACCAGTATGGATGTGACATTGATTGAAAGAATCCATCTTTTGAGTAACATGATGATCCTACACATACATTTCCCATCTGAATTCTACCTAATCCTACTACCTACAGAGGATATTAGAGAATAGATTAATAATTACAGTAATAATTCATATGTGAAGCCTCATACAACCCACTTCCCTCTTCGCTAAACGAAGCAGTTATTGTGACATTTTATCAAACAAGTGTCGTGCAAATCACCCGAGAAAACACCAATCAATCGAACACACCCAATATGAACACTCCTTTTCGTATAACTCCTCTAAACGCACACCAAAGCTATAAAAACAGCAGACTGAACAGTAGTAACTCTACCCAAAAATCTTTCAATGCCCTGATACTTTTCACGAAGAACAAGGGGAAATCGATTACTGACAACTGAAAAGGGAATTCTGAGGTGGGTATTATGTAAATTGGAAAGAAACAAGATAAGATTGGTGGGTTTGATCGAAAATGAGTGTGGGTTTACCAAGTCTCTTTAAGAAAATTAAAGCCTTGGAAAGGAAATGGACTTTTCCTGGGTTTGAATACGTCTCGTGGACTCTCGATTTCATGTTTATATACAGTGGGATGGCGAGTGGGGGTGGCAGTAATTGACGAGGGAAATGAACGGTTTTTCCGTTGGAAACAAACCTTGTCAAACGCGTTTGGCACGCTTATTAAACCATCTTCCAAGAGCCATTTCTACGTGTTGTAATCATTTCAATTTTCAAGATTCCATTTTTATTTATAAGAACCGTGTAAAATCCGACTAATTCTACTGCTTTATTTTGTCAAAATAAGCTTTACCTACTTATTAAAACATAATATATAATTTTTATTTATTTAAAGATGTTAACAGTTGTTTGACAATTGCTGAATAATTAAAGGATCAGAATGATTAAGAGGCTCTCATGATACAGTGTAAAATAAAATATATTTGTTTGGTAATTGTGTACAATAAAATTAGGGCTCTTAATGGTCAAGGGATATCCATGATACAAAATCATTCAGAGGGTTTTAGAATCATTAAGAGACATACTTTTTTTTGTCAAACAAGATTCATCTCTTAACGATTCAGATGTTACCTCTTAATGAAACTATTAAAAGGTAAACAAATGATCTTTTACAATACCATCAATAAAAATCAATCTTAGAAAAATAACTTGAAAGAATATAAAAACACCTTAAAAATGTTATAAAATCCATAATTTATTTTAAAAATAAATGAGTCGCCTATAACGACGTGGAAGACATTTGCACAAGTTGGGTGGTTGACAAACGGCTGCTACCGAATTAAAAACAAATAAATAAAAACAAACCATTTTTCCTAGAAATAATCCACAACCAAACATACATAAACCTTAATTTAAACATATAATAAACATATGCGTTTAGATCTCTGACTAAGCCGGCGGCCGGCCGTCCGTTGCCGGAGACAGTAATTCTTGTATTTGCGACAACGGCTTTGAATCTTAAAACCAAAAATCAATTCATTTGTATTTGTTAATTAGTTATTAATGACAAGGGTCGTTCACCAAACGCTGATCCGGCTAAACGTTTATCAGTAAAATTTAACAATATCACTTACTTACTGGATAAGATTTTGATCCACAAAAAAAAGTACCATATACAACAATTTACCCAATAAGCGTTAAACGTGGTAAAAATCATCACCCTCACTTACCGGATAAGATTCTTGATTCTTATCTTCGCTTTTACGATTCTTGGGCCTTGTCATATTTATCCAATAAAGTAATGTGACTTGATAAGTACTTATTCGGATAAACTTATATAACAAACGGCCCCAAAGTGTTTGACAATTTCTGTTTCTATATGCTCATCAAGCCTACTTTATATTTAGGGACACAAGTATTTTGAGAAGGGCATAAAAGTTGAGCATATTTTTCAAACCTTTGAGCATATTTTTGACATTCAGGCAATAATCAGCACAGAAACTCAAATTTCCTAAAGCCTAATCTCCCCATTCCTAACCCGATTAAATATATAGAAGCAAAGATTCAAGAATCCACCAAATAGGAACAAAGATTCAAGCAACCACCAAGAAAAGCACAATTCTTCAACACATTTGATTCAGCAACCAAAGATTATAACTTTCAAATTTCAATATATGAAATATCTGATCACTTTATTCCAAAACCTGACTTTGACTAATAAGCATCAAGATTATATTTAGTTTGCTTCAAACGTCTCTCGCCAAACCTGAAATATCGACATGTCCATCACGATTCTCGGCTTTAACACTCTTGGAACCGAATGGTTCAATGGGCACACTCCGTTTTGAAGAGAATTTGGAATCTCCGTCATATACATGAGACCCAAAAGCGGATTTGGAATCTGCATCTCCATCGTAAAGATGAGGTGACCCGAAAATACCAAAGAAGCCATTCTTCATGTCTTCCGCAGCCTCAAAGAAACGGTTCATGTTGCCAAATAAATTACGTTCGATTGCTTCTATATCACTGCGTAGTCCAGGGAAGTCAAATGGCACAACTTCTGATGACGGCATACCTTTCTTCACCTGTTCCGTTACATCTTCTTCTGTATATTCCTTGTTAGATTGCACCACCTCCGATGGCCTGAACACATTAATAAGGTGTCAAACCTATTTGAACCCTGATACTTCTCAAATTTTGACAACATATGTTGGGTTTTGCATGGTAAGATCCTTGGACGAAGGATCGTATGAGAATAGAAGTTGAGGTGAAAAGCGTGAGAAGGGATTTGGACCCTTGGATCACTTTTAATCTCATACCAACCCATGAATTGTGCTTTAAAAGGGAACTGATTCGGTGCTTCTCATTATTGTTGATCTAGTGGAACTCTTCAATTAGGATTGATCAAGGGTGGAGATCCTTTCTTACCCTTCTCACCATAACTCTCATTCTCATCGAAACCCAACCCAAGATCCTTGCTTCTGTTGCTTCCCACCTCCACATAATGCCCCCTTTGGTCGAGGAAGGTGTTGATGATTTCAAAAGATCGGACGTTGAGAAAATAATGTCAAGTCCAACTTTGAATAAATGCAAGGACACATGATAGCATGCAAATATATATTAAGAAACCACTTCCATTAAATTTTTTGCATAATAAGGAACAATTTCATGCACGATAGTGCTAATTCAAGATGAACTAAAGGTTGCCAGTGTTGTTTTGAACAAGTGTTGTTTCGAACAAAATAGCACAACTGTCAAATATATTACAGGTTCTGAGGCTTGAAAGGTTACGGCTGCATTATTTCTGAGCAATTCAGGCTAAAACAAAACTTTTGAGGTCAGATGTGTTTGCTATATAGAATAATGCATATTTGATGATTGAAGTAGTGTCGTGTTTTTGCTCACTTTGCTATATAAATTCAGGGTATGATCATCATCAACAGAAGAATGCGATAGAACGAAAAAAATTGTACATTTTTACTACCTTCCCGTGATGTTATAGAGCACTTCCTGGTTGCAAACATTAGAAACCAAACTTAGATTTAAAAACACGTGTGTTAACCAAACACATCAGAGAGTTTGGAAGTAGTCATGTTGTTACAAGCGAGATGGCATAACAAATATGTTTCTTGGTGTCATCAATTGTCATGGTTCTTGGTTCCCAGATCAAAATGCATTTTGTGCAATATTACTATAATAAGATTGATGCAAACCCATACCATTATAAATTGATGAGAATGAAAGATGCAATAAGGAATCTTTTGGGATAGTTTACAGAGTTCGCTTCATGCTCCACAACAAACTTCAAAGACCACAATATTGATCAATACTGGAGCTGATCCTCACTTTGGATACACGATTCTTGCAAGTATATTTACATTTCCTACTCCTATTCCTTATGTAGCTCTCTCTCTCTCTCTATATATATATATATACACACACACACACACACATATTATTTATTTGTTACATTATTTTGTATCTTATCATAGTACTGATTTTGACAAGTACAAATATTTTAGTTGCACATAGTCAGAACTAGCCAAGTATCTGATGAAACCCAAGTTAATTTGTAGAAATCATGCACATATTGGTATTCTAAAATTTTGGAACTATAATAATAGATATCCCATGTTATCACAGTTCGTGATATAATGAGTATACTAATGACTACACCAATCAGTAAACTTGCATCGAACTCTACATTTGACAATGGCAGGAAGGTACTATCAATAAACAGACGCCACCTAGTATGTTGAAATGTTGATTCACGCGTCACAAATATATGCATGAGTATTTTTGTTCAAAGTAAGTGATCATATCTTTTCGCAACTTGTAATGCCTTTACATGTGATGGTCTAACTGAATAGCAACTTATAGTGCCTTTACTTATTTAGATTTTGCAAAGAACCTTTGACTATGTAATTTTAACTTGTATGGTTTGTTTTCCTATGATTTTGGACAAGATATGGTACAATTATTTGGGCTCAGATTTTGGAGCATAGACAGTTAGTTAATGAGCTTGAATATCTGACATCTTCTATTTTTTAACATTAAGATTTTATGTTCTCTTAGCATTCTGTGTTTTGTTCCACATCGCTGAAGTGAAGCTTCCTCAGCTTTATGTGTTTGTCCAACATCGGGAACGGGAGTCCATTTCATGTATTCATGAGCCTATATTTAGGCTAGAATATTATATTATAAATGACATCTAAGGGAGTGCATTTTCGGTTATACTTTAATTTTTTTGTGTGATGCCATATATCTAGGTGCAAAACCTAAAAGATCTGACTCGTTTCTTTAGACCCCAATCTTGCTTTCCATCATGGGTATATGTACATGATCATTCCACATAGTACTGGAAACTCACAGGTTCCTTTAGACCCAACCCGGTCCTGCAGTTCACCTGTGAGTGTGACCAACTCGGGTAATAGTTTATCTAACAAAATTGATGCATCTACATATTCCTTAGCTCTTTGCCTCTAGCATCACAACTTAATTTTACTTGAGCCAATTTTTTTTGGACAGTGAGTATCCAGTACCACCTAAGGAATTTATCTCACGATGAATAAACACGCACCCACATGCAAGCATGTGTGTATGGTAGGTCTACAGAACTCCATTTATGTAGTTTATCTGCAACCATCTACAACACACACGAGTGCCGGCACATGCTTTTAAATCTCTGAGGCAAGTGATACCACATATTTAGAAGATCATGTAGCCACACAACTCGAGCTATAAACTATTACTGTAAACATAAGTAATTAGTGAAAAGATTGGTCGATATTTTGCAAAATATAAAAATAAAGTATAATTTTATTGGTTCTAATCACTTAATCATGAAAAGGAATCAAAACCCTAATTCCCTATCTTCAATCTCCTCTCTTATCTCTGGTTTCAACTCGCAAAATTTTATATCTAAGAAAATAATAATTTTGATCCTACATCATTTTTCTAAAAATTGAATCTTGCATAGTAGAACTCACTAAAATGATGAATTGTTGATTGCTCAATTTGAAATAAACAACGCCACACTGTTTGAGATTCTCGGTTGCAAATTTAGTTTAGATTGCCCCACTGTTCACGATATATAGCAATAGAATTGCCTAACTAACTTTAGTATTTTAAGTGACGTTGGTTGAAAGAGTTCATTAAAGGCATTATTATGAAGATTGATGGAGGCCAAGTAGACTAATTTCCAACTTAAAGATTGATGAAGAATACCTAGAAAATCTTAACAACTTCGTTGAACTTCATGATGATGACTATATATAATATAGGAGGATGTTATATGTTCTGTGACAAAATCCATCTTATCATGATTTCTTGTCCTCAACCAATAAAACTAAGATATTACATTAATCTGCTACGATTACATATATTCTTAAGGGGGGAGGAATCATGTAATATACATGTAGCCATGGTAAGATAAAGCATAAGAAGTAGTTGGATTCAGTTTGAAGTACATCCACGTTGAGACTACACTACATATATGGTTAACAGAGGCGAACCACTAGAATAAAAACTGTGAAAAATCTATGTTCGAGTGTTCCCAGGCCAACCTACTGGTCATGTCAACTTTTATGTTTACCGCACCTAAAAATCCTGGCTACACCATTGATTAGACCTAATGGGATGGCTTTGAATACGATCATTTGCATCTCTTCATTTTGTCAGTGATCAGATAGCATCAATCAAATATAAAGACCAAAAGACCTACATTAATGGCAGAATAAAGACATAGAGAAACCCAAACAACTAAAATCACGAATTTAACAGATAATCGCTAACATTCCTCAGCCACCAATCTAACATGCCAAGTGAAGATCATATTCATCGATAAAAACAAATCAAAAAAGGGAACTGAAACTCGAATTAAAAAGACTACCTTCCAACGCAGTCTTTAAGAAGTTGTTCAGTTTTCTCACACTTCTTGATGAATTTACCAGGCTCTACCTCCTCAGTCCTGCACTGCGAAGAGATAATCTTCCTCGTCGAGCAACGAGCTTCAGATCCAGGATTCAAAACTTCGAATTCGTTGGTTTCATCGGCGTTCCGATCCTCATCGTCGTCCTTCCATACCCAACCCATGTTTCCCTCTTGTATGCTTCTAGCACAATCCAGAGACGTCGGTTAATATGAAGGGGAAATAACAAATCAATGAGTAAACTACGTTTTTGGTCCCTGCAGTTTGTTGAAAATTGCTATTTTAGTTCCTCTGTTTTCAAAATTACGGTTTCAGTCCCTATGATTTACAACTCATGATTATATATATTGCAATTAAAGGTTTTGAGTGTTAATTTCACAAGCCTTTCACTTCCTTTTGTTGTGGTAAAATCCTCTAATTGGTTCAACGTCAAATAAACGAGTCATGTGAAGAGAATATTATACACGAGGGGTTTGGTTCGTAAAATGGAACATGATGGAATTGGAATCCTCCTCAAAGGAATCAGAATGAAATTTAATGAAATTTAATGAAATTTGACCATACGATTGATGGAGTGGTTGTGGCAAAGGCGGAGATGGCAGTTGAGGCGGTGATGCCCACAATGGGGGGTGATGGTGGGGCATGGTTGGTCATGTACATGTAACGGAAAAATTGAAATCCTTGGACAGCCGAATCTATAAAATTCAATTCCATTCCACCTATGCAAACCAAACAACTGAATGAAATTTTCTTATAACCACGGGTGTCTGTGCCATCTTGTGCACATCTCGACCAATTCCATGGAGCCCTTAACAGTCGAGAAAACCACAAATCAAACTCAAGGTATTACCAGTTGGATGATAGCAACCAATGGACAATAAGAAGGAAAAACAGAAGCATGCATCCAGCATCTTCCTTATTCAGTTTTAGGTACAACATTCATCCATTCTATTGCCCTTCAATGGGCTTCAAGAAACCAAAAGAAAACGAAGTTTTTATGGTCCCAGATGTCTGAGTTCGAAAAGCCCTCGACTTTGATGCATAAATTAGTCCATTCGTCAACTAGAGCTTCTTAACAATCTCCTCCTTCACGCGGTGGTAGTAAGTTATTCTCTGGATTGATCTCAGAGCTTCATCATATTTTTTACTTCGAAAAGCATTTGCAAACGAGTCAGACCAACGCCTCAGCTTTTCTTCCATCTGCAACAAATACAGTTTCATCGCGTTTCGCAGACATTCAGTAATTTCTTGAAAATTTTGTAACCTATTTTTTACTAATCTTGCAGACAAATCATCTTTAACCCCGAGTCTCAAATCTTCTCTTTTCTGCATAAATATTCGTCAAGATCCTACTATCGGGATCGTAATATGTATGCAAACGCTTACCTGGGATTGGATCTGATTCAGTGCTTGAGAATCTGTAGCTTCTTCCACGGCTTCTCTAATTTCCATGATCTGCAATCAGAATCCAGTGTTACTCACGGGTTTCATTCATATTATTTGGGAGAAAATACAAATTTGATTTCGGTCCATTTCAAGGGTCTCAACCACATTCCTCCATTTAAAGAGATTAGAAAACAGAAAAAAAAAACTATCTATCCGTAAGTACAGTAGACAGACGGATATGTTATTTCTTACGAATAAGCTATATGAACTTAAAAAAAAACTTAAAAAGCTATCAGATTACCTCACCCAACAACTCTGGTTCTGAGACAGTTTGTTCTTCATCTACCTCAACACCTTCAAGCCTCATCTGAAAAGGTAGAAAGAAAAGATTAGAAGACCATTTCAATTCACGTAAATTAGAACATAAAACGAGTTCATTATTCCAAACCCAACTCAATTAGAAGCATAATAGTCAACTAGGAAGCAAATGTACTTCTACACCTAATTGAATCCAAGATGGGTGATTCTGACTTTTTTTGTAAAAAATAGCATAATAAATAAACAACCACAAAGTGTGCAGTTAGAACAGATGGAAACCATGACTGTACTTACTATGTATATAGCTCTTGACAATGGTTTACGAAGTGTACCATAAGCATCGATAACCCTAGCAGACTGTTCAGCGGCATACTCTCTTTCCTCCTACAACAAAAACCAATGTGTGAACTGACGCTATTAGGAAGTGAAACAAAATCAACCTGAAAACCAATTACTCACGAACCTCAGATTTCGTGTGAACCAGATCAGGATGCAGCTTTTTTTGCCAATCTTTATACTTCCCTTCAAGACTTCCATCCTCTATATCAAACTTCCTATCCCTGTCATATGAAACTAGTTACTAATCAAGTCTAAAAAGACTTGGGGCCTGTTTGTTGTTAGCAGCTCAATGAGACTCGCTGCTTGTTCGGTCAGTTATACATGATTGTTTGGTAGTAGCTTAATGATATAGAAAGTGGCTTACACAGTAAGCTTTTAGGGGGAAGCTTTATGCAAAAAGCTAAGTTTTTTCCAAACCTGTCCCTTCCAATTAAAAAACATGCTTCTTCCATCTATGAAAAAGCCCTCCCAAACAAAAATCTGGACAATCTAAACAGAAAAATTAATCTACACAGATAGTTTTATTCATACAAGACATGATGGAAAACCAACCAAACAGCCCCAACCCAGGACTCGAAACTGGATTTGGAATAAAATTCGTTTAAATAAGTTAGTGAGCTTCAACTTTGATTCCGACCTCAGTATTTTGCCTCCATATTTTTCAGATGATACTTCACTTCTTCAAAACAAAATAATTTCCATTTTGGATGTCCAATGCAAATTGCATCATTTCCTTCTTTAGCTAATTTCAAGACCAGAATCACCCATTTGACCATTCTTGTTGTTACACCTTTTCCGATAATTGTGTGCAAGATCAACAAGCTTATGCTTTTTTGCTTCAATATTGGAGGGTGGATTGAAAGTATAATCAAACAATTTCATAATTTTCTTTGTCCAACCAACAGTTCTGATTTGCAGGGGATTCATATCATAAACTGCATATTTCACTGTTTTATGCACATTTTGGTAATGCAAACTGAAGACATGATTGAATTTAAGAACAAAACCCTAACAAATATGAAGAAATCCAATGAACCCAGAACAAATATTCACATGTTAATCATTTGCATAAACATTTCAAATACAATCCAAATTTATTCATAAACAGTTTGATCAGAAAACCATGCATTAGGGTATCTAAAACACTTACAGCCCAAAAATCCTGAAGTAATCAATTGAATGATCAACAGGTTGAACACTCCCGCAAGATTCACAATTCAGAAACGGCCCCTGACTCTTACAATTCCAGCAATACCTGGTTTCCTCAGAAGACCCTGATGAACAGAAACCGGAAGTTTCTCCAAGAAATTCGGAGTTCCATACCAATGTTTGGGGATTTCTCGATACCCTTGTTCGTCCATTATGATTGAAGCCACGCAGGGTAGAGAAATTTGTATGATTTTGCAATTGGGTGGTGTTTTCTTCGAGTAATTGAGGAGAAATAGATTGAGGTAGGGTTTTCCTATTAAGGGTCGATATGACTGTTCTAAGTTGGCTTCTCCACATTTTCGAAGAGGAGTGACCTAAACCCCTGATGAAGCAAAACCCATGTGGTGTTTTTGATGCTTAAAGCGGCAAAGTTTTCTACTTTGCAGGTTCAAGATTAAAATTGGTTCATGGTGATTATCTCTCCCACCTTTTGGTGTACCAAAATGAAACTGTTTTCTATCTAATTTTAGAAACCAAAAAGATTTCATTTTGAAAAAACCAAAAACAACTTCGTTTTCAATCAACGGTTTAAATGGGCTTCTTGATGGGTTTTTTTTTTTTTTACCGTTATACACACGTGTATATAAGTAATTTGTCGATATGTATACGTCAATAAAACAAAGGATGAAACTTCAATTACTTATATAAACATGTACATAACATTCAGATGAACGATTACCGGTCGTTATTCAGTTTTTTTTGGGTTTCCGGGACCTCCCTCTCTTTTCCTATATACATACATATATATATACACATGTATATACATCCGGTTGTTCCTCAGTTTTTTTTTTGTTTCTTGGACCTCCCTCTCTTTTCCTATATACATACATATATATATACACATGTATATACATCCGGTTGTTCCTCAGTTTTTTTTTTGTTTCTTGGACCTCCCTCTCTTTTCCTATTTACATATATACATACATACGGTGGAGGTTCAAACGAGAACATTCATGTTTTACGATAATGTGAGAACATTTATGGGCCTTCAAATTATTTAATCTATAATTAAAATTAAAAGAAAATAAACTAATTAATTAAGAATAATCATGTGATTTCGTATTTATCTGTAATTTTGGTGATATCTTATCTCTAAAATCACATACCGATAATATTTTAATTGGTATCAAATAATCACCACATTATTATGACAGCAAAATCACATAATGTACAGACAGAGTGATGAACGTAGGCGTCATCATCGTTGGTTTTCGATTATTACAACATTATCACATCAATATCACAATAAAAATCACATGTGATTTTATATAGACACATACGTAGAGGTAAGTTTATACGAAAATGATAAATATTTAAAAAAATAGCCAAATTAGTATCAAATCATATATGATTTTATATTAACCGACAAAAGTGTGTGGACGACCCTATGGCCCCCTGTCAAGTGATTTTACATTAACGGCCAAAAAAATGTGCGGACGACCCTATGGCCGCATGGCAAGATCGATTGAATCACATGTGATTCGGTCATTTTCTTATCTCCTTAAATAGGTATCATTCTCGTATAAACCGGAAAAATTAAACCTTATGTTTTTCTTATTAAAAGATCACTTCAACAAAAATAAACTTCATAATACTCATCAAACTAAAAATTAACATATAATACTCTTGGTCATTACTTTATTAGAAAAAAGAGCCCGCAACAAGGTGTAGGGAAAAGTTTAGAACAAATTTACACAGATTTATTTGTAGAACGTATTAACAGTCAAATCGGCAACTCCACCTGTAATATATGCATCCTGTATGAATGAATGTCTAGACGTATAGGTTAAATAAGAATCTTCTGTCAACTGAATCCCCTTCCAGAAGTGAAGTTTAGGCAGCAAAATCTCTGTTTCTTCATCTTTTTCTGGCTTTCATCACTGTTCTTCACCTCTCCATTCATGGTGTTGTTTTGTGTTAATGTTATGGCCTCATTTATAGCGAAAGAGAAAGAACTCCGGTGACTTCCACGTGAACTCAAGGTCTCGTGTTCTTGTGATGCTATCTTGAGCTCATCTTCATCATCTTGTGTTTCTGTTGCACACCCTTCCTGCCTGTGAAAAACCATCACAGAATGTTTCCCCATCATCACAAAATTATAAATCTTGAATTTTTGCATGGTGAATATATACATATATACATACATATAGAGAGAGGGGGGGTTGTTCTGGGAAAAACCCAAAAAAAGAAAACTAAGGAACACTGTGATAACCATTCATATAGATGGTATGCACCTGTACATATAAATAATTTGTAAGCAATTTGTCCGGTATGCACATGTGCATAACATGCACACGTGCATAGAAACCAAGAAATAGCTTCAATTACTTGTATGCACATATGCATATCATACAGATGAATGGTAACCAGGGTGTTCCTCCGTTTTTTATTTTTAGGGGTTTTCCCCAGAACCTCCCTCTCTCTCTATATATATATACACACACATACCTGGAGCTATGACCGGAAAAACTGTTTCTTGATTCTTGTGAGGTCCTCGCCGTGAATTCGTTACTTGCTGCTACAAAACGCTTAGAACCATTTGTTTTATGGTCTTCAAGCTCAGCAAACACATTATTAGTGAAGCGAGACAGAGACAAGGATCGAGGATTGAATTCAAGTTCCCTAAAGACAGAAATGACCTTCTCCAGTGTTCCTAAAGCTTGCTTCACCTCAGGACTTACAATTACTTGCTTCTTACCAACAATAACACGACAATCGTTTATAAACTTATTGGTTGGATGCTCGTTGCTATTATCATCCTCATGTGACCTAGTTTCTTCAATCTCCTCGATTTCACCAACTGACCTCTGATATTTCGCTTCTTTGCCCTCTAAACTACAAGGCTCTTTGGGTTGAACAATCTTGGCAGTTTCTTGTTCTAAAGCTCCGTCAACAATCTTGATGTCCTTTTGTTCCAAACCAGCATCATGAACAATCTTGACGTCGTCTTGTTTCAAAAACCCATTTGGTACTTCATCATCTGTGAAGAGTGCCTCACGAATTCGACCATAAAATGGCTCCTTTAAGGCCTTGCTGAAATCTGCATCGCCTTTAGACACAGAAGCGACTTCCTGTTGTTGAAGGGTACAATTAGCATGGAGTTTCATCTTTCCTACACCCGTGATTCCAAGAAAATAGGTGTACTTTGACTTTTGAGGTCAAACCAGGTTTTATTCAAATACGAAATCGAAACAGATTTTTTCAAACATCTAACACAGCATTTCTCTAGTTTATAACTTATTATATGGTTTATTGTGGTCGTCAAATCATTCTCAAAGAAATCAAAAATTCAGATAAATTATTGAAGTTGAAAATAACACATTTGACCTCAAAAGTCAAAAGTATGAAGAACTTTATGTGTTTTAAAGTGACTTGGAACTACACCTTTTTATAGAGCTTGAAGCCGCTACCTACAAGTTGCCGGGAAACGAAGTTGATAATCGCTGGAGGAACAAAATCCAGTTTTATATCCATGTTTACAATCGTCCTGCAAAAAATAGAATTTTATAAACTTATCTGCAAGCTTTTATTCATATAACTTTTCACCACAAAAAAGAAAAGCATAGCAATAGCATCATAACATTAAGCATATTGACATAGTATTTCCGAAACATGATCTCTATATATGTCGTTCTACTCTTGGTTGTAGAGGTCAGCTCATCCCCCCTCCCCCTCCTCGACCCCACTTTCAAGGGGTTATTTGGTTGGTTTTCCATAAGTCCTGTATGGAAAAGTTGTTTGTGTGGATTAATCTGTCTATATAGGTCGAAAAGGCATTAGTTTGGGAGGACTTTTTCATAGATGGAAGAAGCGTGTTTTTTAATTGGGCAGGTTTAGAAAAAACTTGACTTTCTGCATAAAGTTCCCCCTAGAAGCTTACCGAATAAGCCACTTTCTATATCATTAAGCCACTACCAAACAATCATGTATAGTTGACAGAATAAACTGCGGGTCCCATTAAGCTGCTAACAAACAGGCCCTTACTCTGTCAGTTTTGTTTGGTTTAGAGCAATTTATGACCATCGAGTTGTTGGTTATTGTTTTGATTCTTTTTGAGTTCTCATTGTTTACCAAGAAAGAACTAATAAACAAAAAGCATGAAAATAAAGGGAAAAAGAATCTTCACCGGAAGTAGCTTCTGTTAGCGCTCACTTTCTGTAAAGCAAGGCCTCCCACTACATCTATCCTCGTCACATTTTCTACATCAGGTATACCTTCTCTGGTGAACCCGTGAGTGGTTTTATCGATGTTCTCTGACTCAGAAATCTGCACAAAAACACAGTAAATAGGATCATGTTTCTCTACTACATCTTCAAGATTTTCTTACGAAATTTAAAGAACATAAAACTGGTTAACTGGAAATTCACACACACGCATATATATAAGGTCAGGTTCAGGGGGAAACCACAAAGAAATGAAAAACTGAGGAACACCCTGGTAACTATTCATCTGGAAAATGTGCACATGTGCTACAAGTAATTTGTAAGCAATTTGTCCGGTATGCACATGTGCATAGAAACCAATAAACAGCTTCCATTACTTGCATGCACATGTGCATATCATAAGTATGAATGGTTACCAGAGTATTCCTCAATTTTTCTTTTTTTGAGGGCTTTGCCCCTGAACCTCCCTCCCTCCCTCCCTCCCTCTCTCTCTCTCTCTCTCTCTCTATATATATATATATATATATATATAAGTTATTACCGTGTTCAAAAGCACTATAATGAGATCATCTTGAAAGTACTCAAGCGTAACATAATGAACTAGCGCCTCTCTTGTTGATAATGGCCATGAAAGCTTCATCCTTTCTTCCACATATTTAGAAATGTAGATATCAACGTCCATAAATAACCATTTCATACAAGGTTCTAATCACTAATGTAATTCGACAAACCTCACTAAAGATATTTGTTCGCCCATTCTGACCTTCTTCACGCATTCCGAATATAAAACCTTAAACGCCGGGATATTAAACTGAGGCCACCTGACAAGGAACAACAATCATAGTAAAGAGTGATGCAAACAAAATATTGAAATTCCATCCATTCACAACTTAAACTCAAACAAGGAGCTTTATCAGAAATCGTTCATTCTTACAAAATGGAAATACGAATCTGTCTCTAGCATTTCGAGGAAAAAAAAATGATGTTTTTCTTGCAACGGAAAACCAAATATAATAGTTTAAAAAGTGAATAACTTGAAAATTTCCTTACCATTTTTGGTAAAGGCCTGCCTCCCATGATATGCACAAGCCTGAATTCAGACAGAAACTTTAAACAGAAATCCATATACACAAATGTGTCGAATGCCTTTCAATAAAACTTACAAACGTCAAGAGGCCCATCTACGTAGCCTTCGGCAAGTAATGTATGGAAGGGAGTGCCTGCTGGTCCCTCCCTATACATAACACGACAGTCTTGATTATCGTGTTTTATCTGTCAAACAAGATAGCATGTGTGCACGAATTAATGCTGATAAAGATATTATTACAAATGAGAAATTATACGTCACTTATAAGCACGATTATGATGGATTTGGCCATGGTAACAATAGAAAAAGGGATCCCCTTTTAGGTTCGAACGTTTTCTTTAAATTTTCAAACAGAACGGTAAAACATATATGCATATGAGAAAAGATCGTCATAGGCCATAGGGGCCTGTGTTCTTTGAATTCACATCTAACGAATCTTGATTTTCTTAATGATCCCATTCTTCTATGCATTTTCCTCCATTCTTCATTTCATAGGTCTGATCTCGTATACTCCTCACACGAAGTAAATGGACCCAAATAAATGAAATGATGACTTATAGCCGAAACAAATAAACGCACCAACACAATGGACACAGAAAGATGAAATGAATCAAGAGATATATAGATAAGTATACAACATACTTTCCAGCCACCTTGTGGTATTTCGTTCACTTTTGACCCTTCAACGGCACTCCCAGAAGCACTTCTAAGCATGCTAAGAAAATTGGCCACTTCCTTTGTTCTTTTCTGAACTAACTTATCGCTATATTCTGCATAATACAATAACTTCAAATTAATAATCATATTGACAACTGAAATAGCACCTTTGTACAGCAATATTGTCAAGAAATGCTAAAATTGCAGATAAAGAAACTATACAACCTTGATCTTCGCATTGTAATGACTTGGACATTTGATTTCCAACAAGAATCTTGAGAGATTCCACGTTAGAAAGATCAGGAGACATGAGCGTTTTGTCAAGCTTATCTCGGTACTGAGAGATGTTTTCTTTTCCCTCCATTTGCAAATCTCACAGCGCCAATAACGAGATATGACTACGATCTTCTTCCTGTATGATCTAGCCTTGCCTCCAAGTAAAAATCCAATTTGAAAACCATTAATAGTGTTTTAACTAGTTATCATAATCAAATAAACAGAAAAAAATCATATGATCATACTCATGAGAACTAATTCAATTACAACTTGGGTTTTTGATACATGATCCTTCGAAATTTGACAGCAAACAAGATATAACAGAATGTGTAGAAAAGATTGATGCTTTTTAACACCCATATGGAAAATATTGTAAATTTCACTCAATCAACAAAAGGGTAACACTAAAAATAGCAAATAAGTCAAGAATTAATTTATTGAATTAACTTTTAAGGCAAAAACCCTAGCCAATTAACAAATTGCTATTTCTGGCCAAACACAAATTAGGGAAATTCTTACCACCTATCAATATAAATCCCCAAATAAAGCTAAAGAAAACCATCTCATTTACCCTTTTAGCATACAAACACATTCGAATCATCAGAATAAAACAACACGCAAAGTGTGAAATCTTGAAAATTATCCCACAAAACCATCAAAATACACAGTTAAAACTAAAACACATGTAGCTAGCTAGTATTTGTATGTTTTTCAAATTGGAGACTTATGATCATATTATACCAATACAGAATCAAATTGCAATCAAGAAATTCAACTTACAGGTTGGGTTTCTACAGAAGAATTCGAGGGGTTTTATGAGGGCGCCAAATTGAAAATCTCAATAAAATATATGATTTGGGAGGAGGAAAAGGAGACAAGATCAGCCAATTTTAGATAGCCAAGGCCCAAGAAGGATACCTAACATGTGGTTTCCTTGAATCAATCGGAGGGACCCCATCACCGTTGTATTGATAATCGTTTGATTACTACGTGGGTATGTCAACTTCGCGGAGCCTTGGGGATTGTGGTTGTTTACAGTTGACTCAAGATGATTGTAGCCTTGCAGCTGTTGGAAGAGCACAGTTGGAATCATTTATGTGGGATTGCTTCTTATTTATATCATTCCAATTTCTCACCATTATATATATATATATAATATATATATATATATGGTTGGGTTCAAGTGGGACTAGCTTATTTTCGTGAGACCTGTGATACACATTTTTATACGTAAACTTCACAGCAAAAACACTGTGAAGGTTTAAAAAAAGTCGAACCTTCACAGCAAAAACACTGTGAAGGTTTTAAAAAGTCACTTTCACAGTATTTTGCTGTAAAGTTTCAAGTGTAAAATGTTGGTCTTACGGGTCTCACAAAAACAGGCTGGTCTCACATGATCCTAATTATATATATATATATATATATATATGATTTTTTAAAGAATTATATCAATGATTTTCTCATATATATATATATATATGTAAAAGACGTATTTAATGTGATTTTTGTAGCATTCTCAACAAAAATTTTAAAATAAAAAAAGTATGAGAGAGATGATGAAGCTCTTAAAATTTAGAGGTTTTTCCAAAAATAATTACGTAAATGATTTTTTATTCATTTTACTAATCAGATTGTTTGGATTAAAATATTTAGGAGTGAAAAATAATATCTTATAAATTGTATTAAATATTTTAATAATATAATTAATCATGTAATATCCAAAATAAAAAAATCTGTTACGGATGAAAGTAACTTTTTAAATATTTTAACTTTTTACTTCTCTGTTTTAAAGAATCTATTAATAATACTCTTAATACACCTTGTATTAATTGAAAACCAACCTTTATAACTTTTTATATGTAAAAAAATATCGTTTTAATTATTCATAAAATCTGATTATGTGACTACTAAGGTTTTTCCACGTCATTGGGACCTTTTTATAGTAAAGGAAAAGGTATAGATTTAGGAGTTGTTTGTTTACTTCTTAATAGTTAGATTAAGAGTCAATATCTAAATTGTTAAGAGATGAATTTTATTTGGCAAAAAAAAATTTGTCTCTTAATGGTTCTAAAACCCTCTGAATGATTTGGTATCATGAGTCTCCCTTAATCATCCAGCATCCTAATTTCATTGTAAACAATTATCAAACAATTATATTTTATTTTACATTATATCATGAGAGTCTCTTAATCATTCTCCACCAAACATCCTCTAAATCAAATCTGTAACCTATAAAATAATATAATAAATGAATATTTAACTGTTAAAGATTAAAATATTGAAACAAGTTGTATAACTAAAGGTGGGATATGGCGTATGCGACACAACAGAATGTTTGGTCATGTAAATCATGTGATATTCATATTAATTTGCTTATACGTAATATCTTTATTTCTTACTTTTTTTAATTTTGCCAAATGGGTATTAAATAGTGATTAATGTGATATATTTATTAAAGATTTGGATATATTCATTGTTTGTATAAAGCAACAGGGAATTTAAATTCGCTTTAAATATAAAATCATCAGTTAAATAAATAATAATTGTAATCAATATGTAAATTTTGGCTGGAAGATAAAATAAACATGTAGATAGCATAACATGTCAATAAACAGATAACAGAAATTCGTTTAAATATATGTTTTTAGATCCTTTGAACAAATATTGAGTTCTATGGCTCTATTTGTTAGCAACTTAACAAACTCAACTAGACTCACAACTTAAACAATTAATTATACATGACTGTTTGGTAGTGACGTAATGATATTGAAAGCAGCTTTATTCAACAAGCTTCTAGGGAGGAGCTTTATACAGAAAAGAAAGGAAAGTCAAGGTCTTTTTTGAACCTGTCTTTCCAATTAATAAACACACTCCTTCCATCTGTGAAAAAACTTTTTCAATCTAAACAGACAGATTAATCCACACAGATAACTTACACATGACTTAAATGGAAAACCAACCAATAAAAGGTAGCATAGCATAAGGCAATGGAGATGGGGTTTATACAGTAGTAGCAAGTAAAAACTGAATAAAGTTTAAACAGGCATATCAGTGGTTCTATATCTAATAATCTCCACACCTAAATAGTCGAGCGGACCAGGAACCGCGACATGAGGCTTTCCCACCACCACACGTACAGCCGATATCTGCTCGTGGTTCTTCAAAGTTGTCGTAGCAATCAGTTGAGCCACCGATTCTAATAGGTTCTGAGAAGGACCCTCTACAATATGTTTCACAATGCTGTCACATTTGACCACAAAGAAAAGAAACAGAACTATCATTAGACATTTGTTCTTTGTATTTTGTACCAAAATCGTTCTTATATACTTTGATGTTTATATGAATTTTAAAAGTCAAAACTGGGTACCCATTACATACCGATAGATGTCGGTGTAGCTGATGGTATCAGACATGTTGTCAGACTGACCAGGTGTTCGAAGATCCATCCAAGCATCTACATCTATCAAGAACTTCTGGCCCAGTTTCTTTTCCTCCTGCTTCACCCCATGATAACCATGGAACATTAGCCCTCTTAGTATCAGTTTGTCTCCCCCTGATTTCAGCACATCTGATGTCATTGCTAATGAGTGAATTCTGCACCAAATTGTTAAAAACCCATTAAATTTTCAATCGAATTCCATGTTGTGAAAATAAACTATGGTTCACTAGATAAAACCATGAGGTGTTAAAGGAACTAGACTATCAAGGGAGATTCATATTTGAACAAGAAACACATATAGATGTTCAATAGAACCACAGAATTCAACTTGGTCTTCCCAAGCCAATTACGTTCGTAATGATAGTAGAGGTAAGGGGTGGCCCAGTTCATTAGGTGCCACCTCTACGTTCTTCCATCGTAAGCTAAAAAAAATTAGGCTCGTGAAAGGTGCAGCTGTATTGTAATGTTGGGTGCCACCATATATATTTTGAAACTACAACGATATTATGATAACCTCAAATTTCTCTCAGTAGAGTTGGTTTGAACAACTTTTCTCCCATCCCAAGCACCGGTTGGGAAGTCCGCTTCAATCATTTTCTTGGTTTTTAGCTGTTAATTTCAGGTTTATTATGTTTCTTGGAAAAATTTACAATAAAAGACTCGAACACAAGACCTCGCATATGAAAAGTAAGAAATTAACCAACATGCCAATGATGACTTTTTGAAAAATATCCGTATCTTCAATTTTATAGTCAAATGGTGCCACCACTAGAGAAAATTCCTAGGTCCACCTCTGGTAGAGAGGCTCAGACGCAACCACATCCTATAGGTAATAGGTTGCAACGTGTGTACCTAGATGGCTAGATTCTCCTTAGAAACCACAAAGCTTCAATGTCTTTCCAAGATTTGTCAAATTAGAAGAAAAATATATCTATAGCATTGAGCTTAGCAGGATCCTAAAATATGGGTTGTTCTGTGTTGTATTAACCAGTGACAGTATTCACTAGATAACTAAAGCAAAATGAAAAGAAGTCACAAAGAATGAATCAGAATTAAGTACAATTGCTAATCACCCTAATGGGTTTTCATCTTTTTTCCTATGAAAATGAGCCATGATTTCCAGCATTATATACGTTTTCGAATTTTTACAGCCAAGACCTTTAGGGATTTCATGGTATCTTTTTGGTAAGACTATACTTCATTTCCATGCCCTTTAAATTACAAGTCCCATCTCTATGAACTAATCTCCATTCACTAATTAGAGTCCAGATTTGATTCTTTTAACTTCAACGCTTATAGAATCTGCGTTAAAGTAATATATGGTCTCAAAATCAGAAGTGGAGAAACAAACAAATACAACAAAACATTTGAGATTTTCATTCCTTCGTATTTTTATAAATAATACTTGAGCATTAACCAAACAACAAAAGGATCATAAGACTTGAATTCATTCAGCAGCCAAACAAGCATATGATCGAAAAAGAACGAGTTATGAGAAAAACTGATGTTGGGTTGACCTGAATCACGTTCAACACCTCTGGCGACAGCGAGACTGAGAAAGTTTACTGTTTTGCGAGGCCATATTTGTAGTTAAAAGGCAAAACAAATATTAGTAAACAAAACTGCACAAGAGGACAAAAACAGCCTTATATGTATTATTGGAGATTCCACAAAAATTAATATCCCATATACAAACATGGATCAACTTGTGAAGGAAACAAAGAAGCAGCCAGAAACGTTTGATTCTATGCGGAGTATATTTCAATATACAATTGTGTATATCCATGGATCAATTTGTTGAAAAAACTACTGAACATCCAAATCGAACTCATCCTATCTGGACTTGAGCCTAACATGACCAGATGTCCATCATTTGACCTTCAAAATATATTGATAAAGTCCAAATAGACAACTGCTTAATCTGAAAATGAAAGATGAAATGACAGATGCAGCAGATTCAACAAATGCGGGCATAGGGTTGGAAACTGCATGAAGCTGAATAGCTAATGGATTGAGGCACTTACTTGAATAAGGGCTAGAGAAACCAGAGGCAAAGAGCAAGGGTTTTGCTTTTACCAAAACTATTGGACTTCTTCATTTTAGGTTGAGCCATGGAGCATCCATTCCAAGACTCGATTTCTTATCTTCTCATTATTATATTGGGCAGAAAGTTAAACAAGTACCCGAATATGATTTACTAACTGACATGGTCAAAATAAATAAAAAACTTATTCAGCAAAAACATTTTATTGATCATGTTTGTGCATGAATATGAATTATATCATTTGTTAGAGATGTGCATGGGTCGGTTTTCAAACCAAACTGCCAAGGAGGAGAGGGATTACTATCAACAAGCCGGGAGGAAAGGTGAGAGGCAGAAGGCTGAAAATAAAAGAGAGACTAATGGCAGACATTCATGCCATAGCAACCCATTTTTTAAAGAACAAGTATTATAGTCATTGAATTAAACTTGCCACAACATCAGCACAAAATATAAAAATTGACAACTTAATGGTACCAATAAAATTGACTTATGAAGTATAAACCCAACCAAATAGCCGAGTATTCAACAGATTATATTAGTTGGTTGATATTTAATAAAATTTCCCTTATGAAAATAATCAGATACAAGTATAAACCAAATCACATAGCCGAATATACAGAGGAAGACCCAGAATTTTTTTCAAAAGAATTTCCATATTCAATAATAGAAAGCTTCAAATGGCAACAACAAAGTGGAATTAAAATGACAGCAGCATTGAGTCAATACAACATTCAAACAAACCAACAATGGCAACATAAAACATTTAAATATTCAAACAATGGCAAGAACGGTATTCGTACAGCAGCAATGAATATTAAATGGTAACAAGTCTTCAAATTCCATATCAGATTTCAACTTTCAAGTGTTCAAATTCCATATCAGATTTCATCATTTCAACTTTCAAGTCTTCAAATTCCATACCAGCAAAACAATTCCATATCAATAATCAAAAATTCACAGCGAAGCAGCAGCAAAGCATATTCCAACAAAAGGCAGCAACAATTCCATAACAGCAATCAACAATTCAACATATTCCAGCAACAAATTGAAACAGCAGCAAAGAAAGCCTTCAAATTTATTCCAACAAATCAATTATCAACATTCAACAGATGCACAGACTACAAGGAAGAATATTCAAAATGACAAAATCAAACGATGAAAAAAATTGCACCTTTCAGCAAAACGCACAAAATCGAAATTGAGCAAGAGGCAAGTTTTGAGACTTGAGTCTTGAAACCGTGTCCCGTGAGTCCCGAAGAGCCGAACAAGCGAGTGTTCCCGTTTCGAGACAGAGGAGTCGATGGGCGATTTATGATTAAGGGTGTTAGCGTTTCAAATTGGGTGGGGGATTACCGACAACCCATTTGGGTGGGTTTCAATTTTCTATCACTTTTCATGTTTCCAGATTTCCCCCTATAATTTTATTTACTTTCAGTTTAGCCCTTATAGTTTTAAGAAATACAATAAAAATACAACAAAACATAACGTTGGCACATTTAGGGAGCGTTTGGTTTGCAGAATGTTTTTTGAAATAATAAGATGGGTCATGGAATATTATCATGTTTAACCAAATATTTGATTGGTAAGAAATGGAATGTAATCTATCAAATGAATTGAAATCTATCTGTTTGGTTTACAAAATGTAGTTTAAGATTTGCAATGAAATAATAAATAAATAAAAAAGACTAAAATACACTTTTATGAAGTTGTTTCTATTTTTTTTCCTTAAAGTACCCTTCTTCTCTGTGTTTGCTTTCTATCGTTGCTTTACACATGAACGAGACAAATCTGAATTTGGATCTCTATTCGAAATTTGAAGATTTTCTACACCATTTGTGATATATTGTTACCTGGTGGCGACGATGGTGAAGAGCTCTGCGAGAAGAGATCAAGAATGAAAGAACACATCCAAGAGCTTCATAAATCGAGGAAGAAGACGATGTTAAGCAGTGAGGGTATTTTTGTCATTTTCAAATTTTTGGGTGGAATGAATTTCAATTCCATCTCTTTTATGGTGAAATCCACATTTGAGAGAATATTTGGAATTCAATTACATTATATGGGTAACCAAACGTCATAATAAAATTTAATCAACGGAATTGACCATTCCAATTCCATCAGATTCCGTCATAATCCAACAAATCAAACACCCCTTTAAGATTCGAAAAAAGCAATTCCACTACCACGGAAGCATCAAGTGGTAGTAGGTGAAACCGTTTTTTCTCAAGGTAGGTCCACCTTGCGAGTATATCTCACTTGAAAGTGGAGTCTAGAAGATATGAAATGTATATAAAAACAGTTACTTACCCAAAATAGTAAAATACTTAATTTTGTAGAAATGTTAGGCAAGCAAGTTAACTACAAGTATATAATCGATAAAACTTTGGTTTGAGTGTGGGCTCCAAAGGTCAAAGTGCTTATAGGTCTCAAGTTCAAATCTAAGGAGGAATAAAAATTCTTTTGTGGGCACGGAGGTTCAAATGAGATGACTACGGGTTACCCACAAAGCAGGTGGTCGTCTTGGGATTAGTCGGCTCGCATAGCGGGTTGGATATACAGGTTAATAAAAAAATACTTTATGTTTTAATATATAATAACAAAATATCAGAAAAGAAGGTTATTTAACAAATTTATATGATTAAAGTAATTGGTTAGGTGAATTGAATAATTTGGTTGTGACTCGCATCATAAAACTATTTATGAATGGTTGTTAAGCCATTTATTACACGACAAATATACGATAAATAAATAATTTTTAATACATTTTATAAACAAGTTTAATTCACAAGATGCGTAATTTACGGTCTCATGGCTGCTATTAAATCAATATATGCTGATTAATTTAATAAAAACTAAATATAATATTTAATAAAAAATGAACAACATGAATTTGTAATTTAATGTGCATACATATTATATAGAAAGAGGGGGTTTACTTTGCAAATCATGTTAATTGTACAAACCGTACAAGACTCGTTCAACCAATCATAATTTTTTATTTTGTTCATTTTTGTGTAATTATGAGGGGTTGATTAATCATTTTTATTGTGGAAAGTGTTAATCATGGATATTATCATCTTCATTATTTTAATTTTAAAGAAATACATGAAAGAGTTTCATTAAAATTTCATTAAATATTATATGAAACAATTTCAAAACCATATATAAAACAACTTCATCAAAAAAGTATTATATGAAACAATTTCACAAGATTAAACAATTCTATGGAAAAAATTCATAAGATATATAATGAAATCGACAGATGAAAGTAGTTTGCACGGTTTGTACAAATTGGATGATTTGCATTTAATCGTTCCTCTCTCCCTCTCTCTCTCTCTCTCTCTCTCTCTATATATATATATATAATTATGAATTTGTGTTTATAAAAGTATAAATATATAATCACTAAATTTGTGGTCACGGAAGATCAAATGAGATGATTCTGAGCTATCTGCAAAACAGATAATCGCTCTGGAATTAGTCAGCTCACGTAACGAATTGGATATTCAAGTTAATAAAAAAAATTGTAATTAAAAATGTATAGAATCATTTGCATACTTTTTTCCCTTGGAGTAACGGAGTAACCCCAATTACCAATTATTTATAAACGATCCCAAAGAAATGTAAAAAAACACATTTACTAAATGCTTACCGGATAAATATCTATCGGATGTCACTTATTTTACCAAGTGAACATACAAGGAACAAAATATTACCCTGCAAGAGGCATAGCAAGGACCGAGTATCTTAAGGACCATTTACTTACCAAACACTTTGGTGGCGTTTGATTTTTAAGAGATACTAAAATCTGAAGTCTGGTTTCACTTCTGATTTATAAGAGATGGTCTTGAAGTATGGAATCTGGATCAGTAAGATTGTTTTTACGTCTGAAGTTCGAAATTTGAATCGGTCAAAATTAGTGCAAAAATATAAAAGATAAATACTTTTTTAAAAAGGATAAAAGATAAATAGTTTTTGCTAACAAATCTGTTCCGACCTCCAAAATATGAACAATTTGATAGAGGCGAATTAGGATTAAGAGGTATTAAAAGATATGTTTACCACTTAAAATTTCAGAGGACATTTAAAGCTTGTAAGCTCTTATTTTAAAAATAAAACAAACACTCTTAATACCCAACGAATCATACTTCAGAGATATTAAAAGGTAATTTTGAAAAAACAAACAAGTGAGCATGGCAAGGAGTCAAGAACCGAAAACCTTACTCAATAAAAGATATAGAAAGGACCGATAATCATACCCGGTAAGCAGTTACCAGATAAAAGACCCTTGCCAACAAGTCATTTTGATGTCCAAGAAGGTAATTCAATGAAGTGAGTGGTGACCAATGCCGATAAGCGCAAGCATGCAATAAACAGCTCCTTACCCACTCAAATGAGGGGAAAGACTCATCCGACAAGGCACTTACCAGGTAAAAAGAGTTTACCAACAATCCATTTTGATGGCCAAGAATGTCACCTCGATAAAGTAAATGAGAGCGGTAGCTCTTAGTGGAAAGAGCTTACCCAGTAAGCACTTGGTACACGACGCCTAAATTTGCATCTTCGACCCAGGCGTGATTAAAAAACTAGGTGAATAAACATATAAAATACACGATAAGATGAACCAAAATGGGCAATCTATAACAATGGGTTGGCAAAAACAAAGATCCAAAGTGAGGGCAAAACTTGTTGGTCAAAAAGCAAGCAGAGCTTGTTCTGATGTCTAAAGAAACTGAACGAAAGAAGTTGAGGTGGCCACTGGCAAAAAAGTTTGGTCTAATCTAAGTACATGTACAACATAGGCCACCCTCATTGCCACTAGTATTATCATCTATGTGAACTAGTAATCATGTATAATGCCTGCCCACAAATCTACACACAAACTGCACTTTAAAGGCATTCTTTTTCCTACCTTTAAATCATAGTGGGCCACTAACACTATCAAATTCTCTTGTAAAACAGAACATAGGCTGCTGATGTCTTGATTTGGTCCTCACTAATGGGGAAGACCTGGCTGTCATTGAACTCATACCATTGCTGCCCACACTGCATCAACAACATTAACACAAATAAATGCTTGGGTTCACTATAAACACCCTTGAAACAGAGCATATGTGGTACTGAGATAAGGTAGATATCAAAATGTTTTATATTGTTATTATTTGGTTATATAGTTTATTATCATTTTCTAAACGATTTCTATGAAGTAGCACATTCTAAGAGTTCAAATTTATTATGAAGATGAACTTCGATACATGTTTTCATCACCCATGTGAGCAAAAAAGAGGCCGAATCATAACAGCAAGCAATAAAACCATTATGTTCATGCATATAGAGTCGTTTTTCTTTCTTATATGCTTAGGGGCTGTTTGGTTGCTTTTCATCAACTCTTGTATGGATAAAGTTGTCCGTGTGGATTAATATGTCTTTATAGATCGGGAACGCTTTTGTTTGGGATGATTTTTTTCACAGATGAAAGGAGCATCTTTTTTAATTGGGAGGTTCAGGTTTGGAAAAAACTTGACTTTCTACATAAAGCTCCCTCCTAGAAGCTTATTGAATAAGCCACTTTATATATCATGGCATTAAGCCACTACCAAACAGTCATGTATAGCTGACCGAATAAGCTGCAAGTCTCATTAAGCTCTTTAAGCTGCTAACAAACAGGCCCTTAGTCGTTAAAACAAATAAATAATTATCATGTCAGAACAATTCAATTAAGACGGCTGATAGAGAAAAGGAGAAACCAAGCACAAGCACAACTTACTTGAACAAAAGCGGTGTAGTGACCACCACCCATTCCACCATAGTGATTACTTACTGCATACAGCTTGTACAGAAAAGAAGACTGGCCCTCCTTGTGTACGGTGTAATTTGAAAGGTCAAAGTTATCGATGGGGAAGTCCACAAAAGTTTCCAACTTGTCCTTGAGAAACTGGTTGTATGAAAATCTCTTCAAATGAATAATCAAAATTTCTGGCAATCTCCAGAGATCCAACTTTTTGCTAGCTTGACAATGCTTCAAGCACTTAGGGCAGTACCTGAAATTTTGAACATATTTTCATCTTAGTGGGATTGTAATTTAAAATCCCAAGAAAGGTAAAAGCACACTGTGGTGCTTGTTCAAAACAAGATGGAGTAAATTACGATAATATTCATCTCACTCCTTTATACTCCCCAATGCAAACAATACTCATAACCAATGTGCCACTGAGATGAATACATATGACAAACCTCTACTTGTTCAACAACTTCGATTAAGATCCTTAATCCATGGAGGGGCATAGGACTTCAGCTCTCTCTCTCTCTCTCTACATATATCTACATATATATCTTTACATCTTTATTAAGGAAATAAACCACATTTGCAGTTGCATAAGTATAAACATCAAAGAGCCCTACTGGAAAGCAAATGACTAGAAATCTCACTTAAATATCCTGACTTTCTACATTGTTTTCCTGATTACACAAGAGAATGTGACAAAATGAAATAGAAATCCATTTATTTCCCAATTTGCACATAAAAAGCTGCATCAAACAATGATATTAAGATCCATCTCTTTTAGTCATTTCAGTTTTTGGTTAGTACAATGTCAAGAGTATAAAAATGAGAATGTGTTTTCCAGTTAATTAATGTGAAGAGAACTAATAATAGGACATTTAACTGAAGAAGGAAGAAGGAAGAATGAAGAATGAAGGAAAAATATCAACAAATGGCATCCAAAAGTTCAGTACTACAAAACTAGCATGACGTACCACATGTCTTCAGGTCCTAAAGGCTCTTCCTTCAAGAATGCTTCAAGACATTTATACAGAGAAGCCGACTCTGGAGGCTTTTTTGATGAAAGCCCACCTGTCTCTGGTAAATGGCTTAAAATGCAAGTATCATACCGCTTCAACATTTCCTCTGGCCAGGAAACAAGCACGGTAATTTTACGAGATTCTGGGATTAACAATGGCTCATCCATCAGCATCTTAGTTCCTTCTGAAAAATGTTCTTGCTGTACAAAATAGAACTGGAAGTTGTCATCCACAAAAGACCTGTCGTTTACTTCACTGTTTGGAACACCATTAAATGCATTTTCATCAACTTTTTCTTCCATTTCTATGTCTTGATTGACGGTGTTTACAGAATCATCAAAAGCATCTGAAGAAAATTCATCCGGCATCAGAAATGGATGGAGTAATTTGAGAAATTTCTTCTGTATCTTGGAACCATCAGTACAATCAGGAATCCTTGCTACTAGAGGAATGCCAAACTCTTTCAAAGCTGGAGATCCTTGACCGTATTGCCTGAAGCCGAATAAATCATAGTAATTAGATGATATAGCCAAATGAGAAAAAATAAACAAACAAGCAATCAACACAACAAATATAATCAGATAATAGCATAGAATAAGAAAGGATATAACCCCAGAACCATGGTCAAAACGGCAAATGTATTGTTCTGAAGTGAAAGTACTTTAAGCATACTGCCTTCAAGTGACTAATTCCATTCACACGCATCAAATTAATTGATGGCTCTTTTTGTTTGGTACTTTATAAAGAGGTACATATATGACAGGACCTTATAGACTAAGAGTATTGGACTCAGAAAAAATAACATCAAGACAATGATATGTGACTAATTTCCTTAGAACACCAGGACTATTTAGAGACAAGAAACTCGCTTAATACATGAAAGAAATAAACACTTGTGGGAATTTGGTTTGATGGAATGGTTTTGAGGGATTTGGATTTCGTGGAAGGATATGGAATTGGATTTTTTTGTGTGTTTGGTTTGTAGGATTTGGAATGGTATTGAATTCCATTCTTTAAAAATAATTTATAAAAACAAATTATAAATAATTATAAAAATAATTAGATTACTTTTTTGTTAATTGATTATTAAAAGACAAGTGTTTTTAACATATTTTAAAACATCATTAAAAAAATTATGAAATCCCATCAAATACCAACCACCCCCTTGGGATTTCAAAATCCCAAGTTTGTACGATTTCAATTAAATCCCGGGATTCAAATCATAGAAATCCTTTAAACCAAGCATGGGATTGAAATGGAATTCAATTCCAAATCCCTCCAAATCCAATCCAACCCTTCAAACCAAACTGGACCTTACTCTTCAAAACGCCGATGCGTAAATACAACCAAGGGAAAATTGTCCTCATCCTTAGGTAGCCTATAAGCAACAAGCCGGTCATAATCCCTAACCAGCTCTATGGAGTCAGCAGGCTTATCCAAAAAATGAAGAACGCGGTGGTTGTATATCTGCACAACAAACCACAAGTTCAGAGCTCAAAAGTTATGCATGGCTAAGGCATGCAAACATGAAAGTTCAGTTCAGATATTTATATTTATCACATGCCGAGGTTTGCTTATGGGTCTGACAACACCTAGGCCTTTAGTAAGTGTAAAGGGCGTCAATTACATTAAAGTTCAAAGTACAAATATTCATCTTTGGACTTGAGCTAATCCTCATTTTCTCTTCAAAATAATTGTCATTCCAGGACAAGAAACTGTCAGCAAGTTCGTCCATCAAAAAGGCAGCAAGTGAAGACAACATCACCTAGACACCTACACAAATATTTCAAGCAAGGGCATCCCTAGATTCCCTAAAATATATATGGATCATGCATGCAATTTTGAAATAATAAGCGGCACTTGAGCGATTTGTAGAGTAAGAAGGCACAGATGTTGGGCTTGGTGTCTCACTGTATTCAAATGAGATTACATAACATCAGGTTCCATATCACATTCCTTGGTCCTTAGGCAACTCTTTTAATATTACTTCATTCAATATTAGGGAACACCCAAAGCTTAAAAAGAAGCTTTCATGGTACATACCTCAGCCACCAGCAAGGTTTCATCCTCCCGCAAAGAGCAAGCGATGCTCAAAGCCTGAATGAGATCCGTAAACTTTCCACACTTTGGGACAGTCACAATAACTGAAATTGGCAAAGTAGTCCCATCAGTGCTCAATACCGTCAATGTCATAGTCCTCATTGTTGTCGAAGGCAAGGGCAAAGACAGATATATGAATGGATCAAATGTAACAGAATGCTTCTTGCAAAGAGGACATATCAAAGTTGACCGATACTGCCCCTGTAACAAGTGGGAAATGCAGATCAATAGAAAGTAACATTCGTGGCTTCTTTCAAACAGAAGAAAGTGGTACGATATTGCCATTTTTCAAACTACAAACAAAAAGCAAACGATTGTTATCTATGACAAGATGATATATGATAAAAGAACAGATGTTGCTTGACAAAGATCACAAAACTATTAGTGAGATCACCTGGCACATGCCAACTATTATGGAGTCATTTCGGGCTAGATGATTCTGCCAATGTTCATCTGCTACTTCTTTGTCGGAAACTCCATCAGTGTCTTTTATCTCATTATAAGGCTTGATTTTAACACGATTGAGATCTTCATGGAGTCCATCCAGTAGAAAAGCAAGAAATTCCTATATTCAATGTACAAGGTTGGGAATAAAGTCAGAAAGAGAAAACATATAAAAGATTATCACACCTAAAATTTAGCAATAGAAATCATACTAATACATATAAAATACAGCATATTGTAGTTATAAAACTTGAGGATCACCAACTTGAGAATCATGCTGATTGTAGCCACTAAACTGAGGAGCAAAACCAGCTACTCTTGACTTGAATGCTCTTGGAGCCACTGAGGTAGCCCCTGGTGTCCATAGCTGCCTTAGCAAGTCTCCAAATGCTAGAGCTAGCTTCCCCTGGTCATAATGTGCAAAAAGGTAATTCATAAGCGGCCATACAGATATGCCATATGCCTTGGTAAACCCAATTAAAGAAAGCAAATAGTAAATAGGCTCCACTATTCAGAAACTAGTAACCCATAAAATGCAAATTACATACATTCATGCCCAGTGGATTCTCGAAGTTTAGATCTTTTCTGAAGTCCCCAAGAAAATAATTGACAAGCTGTGGAGTATGCACTAAGCACTGGATAGCGCTGTTCATAAAACATGTGTTGCCGAGATTGTACAATCCAGTCAAACCCAAGTTATAAGATTCACTGAAGCTACCAGGAAATGGTGGATGGCCAAGTCTGACACATGAGTTGACATTGTCAGAGTGGCCATTCACCTTCAGTGAACTACCGGAAGAAAATCCATCAGTTTTCAAGTCTTCAACTGCCATCCCATTTTCTTTTCGCATCACATCAAAAGACAAGCCATAAACCTGCAACTCTAAGAAAATCTGCAGTGCAGTAAGTACGAGCAGTTAGCATTCTGCATCATTTGGAACAAATAAGTGGTATGCTGGTTGTTTCAAAAGGTCTGAGTAACTAAAATAACAAAAGAAAATGATCAGGACACTGAATCCATGTGGAATTTAGAAGACCTGGTATGCCAGCAAGAAGGAATGTAATAGGTTACATCATAGGCAATACAGCAGAAAATAGAAGACTAAAATAAAAATGAAATTTAGAGATTTATGCTTTTTGGTTTTTGCTGAATATATAGAGCTTTACAAGATCCAAGGAGAAAAGATTAACTTAATTCTTCAATCTCTGATCAGGGCATTTTTTTGATAGGGTTGTACAGTACCAACAGGTGTTCCAACATTTATCCCTCAAGCAATGCTACTCACCAAACTATTACAACATGTAAAAGGTGATGCTCCATTTGTAGAAAGGAAAAACTAGAAAGGTTGGGAAGCTCAAAAACGTGTCCCAGATAAAAGTAATTACCTCTTCATTCACTTGTTCAGATTTATCAGATAGCATGCTGCCTTGTAAAAAAAACTTGGTTATTTGCCCTGAAAAATCCCATATGTTCAACTGCAAAATAAATGGATTCATTGATAAAAGCCCGCAAAATCAGAACACTAAGAAGGGCCAAAAATAACTCACCAAGCCAGACTTGACACAAAATATTTGGCAGGATTTATTAAAAGCTCCAATCTCATTGCCCTGAACAACAGTCACAGATTAAAAATATGCAAAACATAACACGCATAATGGCCGGCAGGATAGATAAAAAAATATATCCAGAAGAGGAAAAGAGCTACATTACGAATATAGTTGTAGAGTGATGTATTGGAAAGTTAATAGCAACAAGAGAAAAGGCAAACAACAAAGTAGAAAGTAGATGGATTGGTGCACAAGTAAATTTAATAATCTGATTTGATCAAACCAATTGTATGGCACAGCCAGAGGGAGTACAGGATCAAGATCTGATACACATGGGAACAACTATAACTACTGGTATGACATACATAATATTCAGGTTACTAAATACTAAGACAAGCTTATGCGCTGCTTAACATTTAAAAACATAGAAAGGCCATACTCGTAAAAACTACATAAGCCACATACCAGTCATCTGTAAAATTCACAATAACAGAAAAAAATGACATTACCTTTTGGCTAATCCTTACAACCAACGAATTTGTTGTTGCAGAAATTGAAAGCCTAACTTGCAACGAAAAAAAGTCTGCCTTATTATCTTCTATGGCTACAGAGTTCCCCACATACTTCATATCATAGTGCCTGCAAGGAAGAGCATATTGTTGAAGGGAAGCAATACCAATCATCAAGCAGATCAAGTGTCAATGAGATGCACAAAGAAGTCACATCAAGCATGAATTATACATAGGTTGAAACATGAAGTTTGGGGAATATTATGGTAGGGCGTGTCAATAGTTCTAACATCTGACCGCATTTTCTTTTTTAGAATGTGTAAGGGTTAGCTAGAAGAGCATGCAAAAGAAAAGAGGGCTGTAACATGGATCCAAAGGTGACATTGTCCACTTGAGTTGCAATGGACAGAACATATCTGTTACAGACCAGTCAGCATATTCTCACATTTAACAAGTGTGAAGCTCCTGTGAAAAAAGAGAAGCTAATAACATCAGAGGATACCATCTATCATCCAGAGAACGTAGCACCAACTTATCCAAAAATGGGGAAAAAGAACAGAGTAAGGTACCATTTTCTAAACGTTGTATAGAATATAGAGAAAAGGATATCCTCTCTGCCATACCCTGAGACGAAGATCACATGAGCCTTGAAATCATTCTGTTACGAACTTGTACAAATGTAGATTCTCTTTTGATATTTACCTTCCTCATCTGTAGTGGTGGACCTCCACTAAGTCAAGAAAACATCCACCAAAAACCTACTACAAACCCACTTACAGATGTTGTCCAAAAGAATATTTTGTCCACTCAATGCAGTCCCAAATGTACTCCCAAGTCCAGTGAAACCCTTATCAAAATCGAAACTTATGTATGTTCGATAGCAAAACAAAGAAATTCTTCTACACCTATCATGCAGCCATGCATACCTACAACGGTATTTTTGGTACCTTGTTTTTGCCCATTTGTCTTGTGTAATTGTCAAAATACACGAATGGCCAAAAACCAAGAATAAAATACTGGGCGAGTCAAAATTAGAAATGATCATAAATCTAGGAAAATTTCCTGTTTCCAATACAAAGGACTTTGAATAAAAGATTGCCCGGGTATCTTTCTATTTTGTGCAATAATTTCAAGTGAACTTCTAAAATTTCTCATCATAATTTAAGATCGGTGACGATCAATATTCTGCCAGATAACAATCATGCAAAAAAAAGTCTCAAGTCAGCTCGATCATTTTTGAGTCATCAAAGATTAAAATAGAATGTAGCTACACGCTTACAGCATATTAGTACCCTCTGGATACTACAATGAACGTTAAAATGTTCACAGTCCAGATCCAATGTGCCAACCAAAATACACAATAGCAATGCAGATATACTAAATAATTTTCCTTGTATAAACACTTGGAGATCATAGGGATGTCTACTTTAAACCAAGTTGAGCAAAAGAGAGTTATAATATACTTTATGAGCATGCAAAAAAACCTAGTTATCTCTGTGAAATGAAGCTTAAGAAATTTTGTTAGGTAATAACCTTCCTAGTAACTTGCTACATATAGGAAACCAGATCTGGTGTTATCCTTGCTTTCGCTTGGATCTTACCTAATTCATAATAAGCATTTCTTGGTGACATGAGTGATAATACATTTTGTTAATCTACAGAGTTAGCAAAATCGCAAGTGCTCGTATACATTGCAAAATAGAGCGTAAAACTGATTATTGGGATGACAATAACTTAAACCAGAATTCTAATGATCCAAATTTGCTTATATCTACATATAAAGCAACAAAGTGAACTTGAAAATAGTAGCTATTTACTGATACCAATGCATCCAACATCAGCTAAGCCTCTATAAGAACCATGTTTATATTACTAAATTAATAAATTCATGCAGACAGGTAAACCCAATAGAAACTCATTCAATAGAAAATGCCCTAACCATTTAAGAGCTCGATAGAACATCCATTCGGAAACCAACGCATACTCACGTCCGGAAACCCCTTGCTCTTCTCCCCTGCAATCAAGACTATCGCTTTCACTTGTTCTCATTTCCAGAATAATCTCCAAGTCAAAATCATCAGACAATCCCGAACTCGTAGGGTACAAAATACCATTCACTTCCCTAAACAAAGACTCCCGCGTCTCGTTCCACCACCTGAAAATCCAACGAACCAATCCACATATACCTATTTAAAAATCAACGCTTATCTCAGGACAAAATTGAACTAACAACTCCACCGCCAAATCAAACACCAAAATCAAAATCACCTGTGATCGACGAGATAAAGCCTCTCGTCGTCGAGGTCTGACAGACTCTGAATTGATCGGGCACTACTGTTTCCGAATAGAGAGTCGTCATCGCCGCCGTCTGCAGAGAAAAACAGGGAATCCATCTTGAGAAAATCTAGGGTTTTGGACAGGATGTGTCTGACGGTGGGGAGGATTTTTAGAGAGAGAAAGTTGGCGAGGAGAGAGAAAGCGAAGAGTTGAGCGAGTCGATCCTTGAAGCGATGGGTCATGAAGAGGAGGAGCAAAAGATTGAAGACCTTGCGTTGATGATGGATCAGTGCAATTGGGATTTTGAATTTGACTGCAAACTGTGTTTGGTGTTGGTGGATATTTACCTTTTACTACCCTCAAAACTTCTTCTATTCCCTATTTACCCCCCATAGTTTTATTTTATAAACTTTTGCCCTTTATTTTATTAACAAATCTCTCACTATCCACTGTCGTGCTCTTCTCACTATAACGTTGTCTGTATTGATATAGTTATATGTATGTTAACAGATAAGTTGTTGTTCAGTTGTTATGCTGAATAACAGTATGCGGAGGTTTTTAGTTGGATGGTGTAATAGTCTTATACGAAATACAGTCATATGAAGACAACCCTAATGTTAATGTAATCACTTGACCAAATGAATAGATAAATGAAGAACAGTTTGACGATGATTAATCAGTGTTACGTAATGAAAACTTTTCTTTGTATGGGTAAGTTCATTGACAATGTCAAACTTCGCTCTCATTCGATTCCAGCATATCAAATAAATATAGATGGTGAATCTAAAAGGATAAATTGAATAACTGGTATATGGAGGATACTTTGTCATATATATGGCATGTTTATTTAGATCTCGCTTTGATGGCAAGATTGATTTATCATACGTAGGTAGGAAAAAAATTGGTCGACATTTTAAGCGTTTATTATTTTTTACATAAAAGCTCAGTGTCATTTACCGTCACATGTTGTCTTTGTCGGACACGTGATAAAACAAATAAGAAAAATAGACAATAAATTGGAATACACGAGACGATATGCAAGCAAATGAGTAGTAGTATGCAACCTTATTTTTTGTATATAATGAGGCTGTAATCCTAGTTTTATTGTGTAATATGTTTTTTTTTTAACAAATGACCATGTTGTACAACCAAATTGACCTCTTAACCATTTCTCTTCGGACTTTACCCAAAAGTCATTAGGTCTACAATATCCAGGTCTGCAATTTCTTGCAAACTCACTAAACCACAAAAATTTTGAGTTTTTGGCTTAGGTCTGTAACCATACGTCCATAATTATTACGGATCCGGCCGAAAACTCACCTTCCTTGAATTTGTAACGTCAGATCCGTAAGTGTCCACCTTCATTGTAAAATGGGTTTTGGGTCGGATCCGTAATAGTTGCGGATCGGTGGTTAAGGACCTGATCCAAAAATGTTGATTTTTTTGTCTTTTAATGGATCCGCAAGTGTATTGCGAACCAAGTGACTTTTGGGTAAAGTCTGGACATAAATTGTTAGGAGGTTAATTTGATTGTGAAATATGATTATTTGAGTCAATTTCCCAATAAAATATCATGTATATTTCAACTAATTACAACAGCAAACTTGAAGCATTCATACACACTTGGGCAATTGTAATGAAATCAACACGATATTAATCAAAGCAACTTAAACACTAACACACAATTCAAATTCAAGTTTGATAATAAAAACATAATGTTGTACAATACATCATATCACACTTTGTCGTTTTCTCGTTACGTTCGCCTATCAGAGGGTCTTTCTTGACTTTACACGTACCTTCCAACTCATTTCTAATCTCATGTTCATGCACGATATCCCAACCTACCAAATAACCTACACATTTATCTCTGTGAACTTGGACTTGGTCTTGCTTAATTCGTGTTCAAAGTACCTTAAATCGCACAAAATGTCGACTTTGCAACCTTAACACCATTTCTAGTTATTTTTACGACCAAATGTGCGACTTTTCTTATACCAATTTGTTAAAGACGTTTTCGGGAAACTAATTCCAACAAAGTTTTAGATGATCATCTTATGGATCAAAAACTGACTTAATTGGAATGAAAATCAATCTTATATGAAATTTCTAAAATAATCTCGTTGTTTCCGTTTAAAATTAACATCCAAGAACCAAAATCAAGCTACGCTCGTTTTACAAGTATCTGTAGTACGCGTCTCAAGGTCTATAAAGTCATATTACATACATCGTTTCGATGAAGGAGCAATTTGTTATGGTTTTTATAGTAACATATTATCCAAAAAAAATAAATTTGTATATCCGTTACATTATACAACAATCCCAACATGTTGATAGGCTTTTAAGCATACATAGACAACATTTACGTCAATATATAAAGTAATGACGTATTTACTACATTTTTCTCATTAAATTGAATAATGTATGGCCTATGTATTGGTTTAAAATTTGTGTTAAACGATCCACGCAGTATTTACCACGTCTCTCTCTCTCATTACTTATGACGTCGTGACTTCCCCATCTCCAACATCTCCCTTCGCTGATGCTCTAGATTGTCATTCACAAGTACCCAAACTCAGCATGTGAACAAGACTCCTCGTCGTGAACAAGACTTCAAGTTTATACATTGTCGTTCCAACTTTGTGTCTGCTCCCATCTTCATACGAACACGATGATGAAATCAAAAGGTTTAGTTTAGCTTTAGATTTAAGGTTTATATCACAACTTCTTAAAACGAATAAGCACAAAATCATTGTTTATATTCATTGTTTGTGTTTATACGTTGATCTTTTTGGAAATTTATTTTATTTTGTTTGAATTAACCGATGATTGGTGGTGATGGTGTACTTGTGGTAACGGGTGGATGAAGGGTCAATGTGGTGTAGTTAAAAATTGCATGCCACGTCACTTTCATGTCATACTTTATATGTAAAATGAAGAAAGTAATAAATGATCAATTTACCCTCAGATTTAACGAACACGATGGATGGCTACTAGGGTGAGAGCCAAATCTAAAACAAATTGCAAACTTAAAGGGTTTTGTGTTATAAATTAAAGTGAAGCTCCAATTCTTCAATAACCCCCAAACCAAAGAGACTTTATGTAATAAAATAAATTCCACAATAACCCCCAAACCAAAGAGATTAAATTCACAATTTACTCCAAATTTTATTTTGGAGGAGAGAGAAATTATATTAAATATTTTTACTTTTTAACAAAATTTATTACAGATGGTAAAGATTACAAAATTACCATCTAAAAATTTAGAGTAAATTACAAATTTGGTCCTTGTGGTTATGTGCAAATTACGGTTTAGGTCCTCCAAACAAAATAACTACAACTATGATCATGGTGGATTCATTTTTGTTATGGATTGGGTCCCTCACCCTAACTTTGTTGACCTAAACTTTGTTAAGTTAAGGGTGTTTTGGTAATTTTAATATTTTTTTGATTTTAAAAACATTTAAAAATTTATGATTCTTAAATTATATACTTGTGATTATATGTCATATATAGATATATTTACACACGTTTGATTCCTCATAAGTCCCACCCATAGATGCCTTATTTGTTTATCGTCAATACCAAATGCATCTGATCTGACCCACATGACCTAATCCCCCCTACCGGTGTCCTTTTCGTTTCTTCCCTCATGTTCACCACAATTTCATTGACGAAAGTAAACCAACAATTCATGACGGAGGTAAACCATGGTTTGCAACGGTGAGTTCAAGTTTATGCAGGGGAAGCGCAACATAAACCATGAGTGACTTTGGGTTCTTGGGGTTGTGGTCTAGTGAAGGGAGTGCAGGTAGTTGCAGCCTTGCAGGTGGTGGCGAATAGCCGAATACATCGATGGAGACTCTAGAATAGTGTAGGGGGACAATGATTTTTGTGTGGAAGGGGGAGGAGCTTCACTGACAAATGCTACTCCGGTATTAGATGAATTAATATTTTAATAATATTATTAATAATATAACATTATATACGAAGAAACCGTTGATGTTGAATGTAAATAATTGTTTTTTTGGATTTTGATGGTTTCTCTGCATAAATAAGTTGTATACCTTTACGTACCCTGCAAGATAAAAAGGTATGAGATTTATGTTTGAACAAATAATATCTTAGAAGTGGTAATAAATATTAATTGAAAATTAGTAATTAACTTGCATACAGATTGTTTTATAAAAATTGAAATTACCAAAATACCCTCACATGAGATTATTTAACGGGATTTGAATTAACTACTATTAATCCCGATAACCAAGTCCATATCAAAACCATTATCATAAAAACGATTCTATAATATGTAATATAGGGGGTGTTTGGGATTGCTTATTTAAAACAACTTATGTTTTTTTTGTAAAAGTGCTTATTAACGTATGTGGTATCAAACCGGAGTTAAATAAAACATGGTTAAAATTGTAAACTGGTAATAAACAGTTTT